ATGAAGCATCCACCTAGGCTTTTAGACTTCAATGTACTAGCCTTAACCCATAAAATATTACTTGGAAAGTGATCAAAATTGTGTTTCACTATTTCAACGTTGGAAAAAAGTTGCCGCTGTTGTTTTAAAGAGGATAATAGAACTTATCTTTATTGACAACGTCAATGGGGTATATACCAAGGGGGAGATCAGAAATTTTCCCACTCTCCTAGCCTCTATTACTGACAAAAACAGACTCCTTCTAGATACTTACATTCATTATATACTAACTCATACACGACTTCTCTCCTCTCATACGTCACATCACTTAGTTACCAGTTGTGATGGATATGACCTTCTAAATAAGTTCTGTAGGTTGTGATGATGGACATTGTGTTTGGCATAAGCACTTAGAAATTTTAAATCTACATTCATATTTTTCTATTTTTGACAAGCTATTGTCACACTTTTGGTGAAGCATATGTCTTACATTGAAATTGATTCATATGATACCTATTTAGTTAAAAATTTGGAACCTGTGGTCACAGAAAATTATTTGTTGGCCCTCTGCGAATGTGAGCAGAAGAACGAAATTCTGCAGATGCTGGAAATTATAGACATCACAAAGCTTTCATCAACTGTACTCGCAGTTAACATCTTCGAATGCTTAGCGAGGCTATCACTTCATTCTTTTGCAGAGAAGTTGCTTGTGGCATTTAAAACTTCTGGTATGTTAATGATTACCATAAATTTTTATTGTCCAAGGAATTTCATGCAGTCATATCTTTGTAAGGAGCGTATTTGGATGAAGTCAGATATATTGAAATTAGCAACTGAATAGATTTTCTAAAATTAATATATAATCTTTTTGGATTTTTGAAACCAGACAAGTGATAATTTTGTAAAACTTAAAGAATACCATCAATCCCAGTAAATAGTATTTTAAGCTTAAACCAATAAGAATTTTTAACTATGTTCTATTTTATAGTAAAAGAAGAGGAATATCGTAGGCTTTTAACAAGTTATTCACTAGTCATTAATAAGATTCAATTATGTTTGCATGGGTATTATATTTATTTGACCTTTTTCAATTGTATGATCTATCTATATTTATTGTACTCTGTTCAGATCATGTCTTTCTGGCAAGTATTGTGTTTTTGGTTTAATATTCAATATAGGCTCATCAGTATCGCATAAATATCCTATTGTCTTCTTCCCATACTGTATTACTGAATTGAAATTGCAGGGACTGGAGCAGGGAATATCCCATACCTTATTTATAGTTATGCTGTCAGCATTCCAAATTTAGCGGTGAGGTTCCCATGAATAATGCTGGTAATGCCCTTGAGTCTACAAATCTCTCTGCCCCAGGCAGTTTGATTATTTTGAAATTGGATGCACCTTTTCTTTTTCCAATTTTGGAAGTCATTTTGTTTATTTGCGTATTGTCATGTCACTCTGTAGAATTTATAAAAAAAGAAAAAGAAGAAAGAAAAGGAAAAGGAGTTGCTTTAAATAGAAACACATTGTGCCCTACCTAAAAGGGTCACACAACTTAAAATAAGAGGCTTAATTGTTAAGAAAAAAAAAGGTAGGTACGGAACACCCAAATGGAGCAATTGAAGTGAACCACACTCTAAACCTCCTTTAAAGATCAAGCTACTTGTTGAGGATTTTATTATTTCTCTCTCACTTAGATATTATAAATAACAATGAAGAAAACTATCTGGCAAATAAGTCATTCTCTCTAACATAAGGGAGGACGGACAGACAAGCACCACCTCTATCAAGCCGCTTGACTAATAGTTTCGAAAGTCAGGCTCTTCTGCTGAGCGAAGCTGCGAGCCTACCCTTCTCGAGCCTACTTAAATAGCTTACACTTACCAAGGACTTGCCCAAAAGCTTAGTAACATCTCCCTTTTCCAGTGGGAAGAGTCAAAATCTTATTTAAGAACTTCGACTAAGAAACATTGATGGACAATACTGATGATAGCTCAATGAGTCGAGCATCGTCTACTAGGGTAATAGCTGAAATAGGATTCATTTTGGCTAGAGCGCCCAAATCCGCTATATATCTTACACGGATTGGCAACCTTGTCCAGAATAAAACTAATGCGAAAAGTCTTAAGAAATCTTACCCTAAATTTTCACGATAATGTGACATGAAATCAACCACCTTTTGAGATACAGAATTCTTCCATTTGGTTAATCTTTCAAAACACTTTCTATCACCAATTCCTGAAACAAATTTGACTTGGAGTAGAGGCAGCCGGCAGGTTAAGATACTCAAAAGGACGAAACTCCTTTTTATAGCTACACATCCACTCTTCCTTTCTTCCATATTCACCCCAACGATTGGAGTATTTTAGGGATAAGTTCTACAGGAACTGGACAATCCTATTTGATCAAATACCTAGCGACAAACTCCTATGGACAAACATGAAGTTTCTTGGAATATTAAGAGAATATAAGCTGCTTTCGGCTGGCAGCTGGGCCTTCCAAGTAACATCAAGGAATGGCTAGAATCTATCTTTATTCACCACCCTTCCAAGCATGAAAAGGCAATTTTATGGATGAACATCAATAGAGCTTACATTTGGGTTATATGGAAAGAGAGAAACTCCAGTATTTTCAAAGATAGGATCTTCAACATCAACATCTAATTGAATCTATACTTTTTTTGGCTTTATCGTGGTGCAAATATGTAAATCCTTTCATTAACTATGGGTTGAATTCTCTCACATCCAACCGGAGAAGTTTTTTGTAATTTCATTGGATAGGGTTTGTATTTTTGTACTTTCATGATATCAATGAAATTCATTCCTATCCAAAAAACAAAAAGAAACAAATTTCTAATTTTCTCATCCTTATCATGGCTAAATATGATTGTGTCATTGGTTGGATATGGGTGACATGAGCACTGTATTCAAATGTGAAGCTGTTAGCTAGTGAAATGTTATTTCTAACAAGATGAACGTTTGAACTAGCAGTAAATGTTTATTATTGATCATTAAGGTTTTAAGTTTGCTTCTGTTTATCCTTTTCCAGTCTTTATATATATCCAATGTAATATTGAAATCTTGAGACTGACGGCTTATACCACTTTCTTCAAGTTATCACATAAACGTATTAGCGTTTCTACCATACTTGCAACAATTGCTTGTAGTACAGTCGAATCTTTCTGTATTTGCCCGGGTGTTTGATAGTGCACAAGAATTTTGATGCATAAGAATTGTTGTCTTTTGTATTTTGATTGCTGATAAATTTCTCAATTTTTTTGTAACGTGGAAGATTGAGGATATGGTTTCAAAATTCAAGAGCTTGCACTCCAAGTTGGACATCAAGCCCTCATCTACTTCATATGAGAAGCTCATTCATTATTGTTGTGGTTCATTTAAGGTATGGTATTGGAGAAAAGATTGACAAGATCGTTTAAATTTGTTTGTTTTATTATTTTCTTAGGCGCAGTTTCGGAACAGCCTTGAAATTGACCTTTTTTTTTTTCTTTTTTTTCTTTTAAAATCTGATGTAGGTGCACATGGCTCTTGATATAGCAAACGAAATGTGTGATGCAGATTTCACACCATCAACTGACGTCTTGCACTCCATTTTACATGCCATGGATGAAGGTTGTGAGTTTAATTTGGTAAGTGTTTTTGTAATATTAAAAAAATATTGGTAAGTGTTTTGTCATGTGGATTCTTTTGCTTACAGTCACATCATCTTTGCTTCTCATTACCTTGATATTTTACTTTATATTTCGACATCTTGAAAAATCTACGAAAAAAGTTGATTTTTTTGTTGGATAACCTTCAGGTGATAGAATAAGATTGATGTTAATGACGATGTTTGTTTATTTGGTGAAATATTTGTATTTATCCCATATATGAAAAAGACGTTGACTCGGACACTCATGGATATCAAAAAATGTAGATATACACACGCGCGCGCACACACACACAGAAGATTGAATGCAATGTTGGAATATTCAATGCAATGTTGGAATTTGCATTTGTTTTCCAGTGATGGGGGAGTACACCTGCCAAAATGGCAAAGGGCAGTGAAGAGAGGAAATATTAGCAAGAAAGAAATGGAGGGAGGACAATAAGGAACAAGCAGAAGATTGATAATTCATATTTTAAAGTTGAAACTCACCAGGACCATTAAAAAATCCATATATTGTTGTGGCATATCATTTTCTATTTGGCCTTTTATGTAGTCTCTAGTTAGTCTATGTCTTGATATTGAGGATTGGGCTCAACATCTTAGGCTGGAAAATATTGAGCTTAGGGGTTTAAGAGACGTGTTTAGGAAACTTGTGTTTAGGATGGTCTTAGTTGGATCTACTCGATAGGTTGTACTAGTGTCCTTGAGTCGTTAGGAAACTTGTGTTTGAGATGCAGGCTTAGGTAAACTCAGTGAGAATTGGGTTTGGGGTATTTTTGGAAGTTTGAAACCCATAGCTTTGTTTAACAAACCCCGGACTTGACAAATCCACAGAGCAAACTCAGTCATCTTAACCCAAACCCATCTAAATTCAAACACTCCCTTAATGAACTTCAGTGAGATTATATCTTTTTATCCATTTGTGTGTATGGTTCCATGTGATTTCCTTATTTCCTTGTTTCAATATCGTAGCTGTTTTTTATATTAATATTGTTTTGACATCTATTGTTCTCCACTTTCTGCTTTGCGAAGGTTCATCAAGTTTATTCACTCATATGTCGCCACAACCTAAAGCCAGATTGTGAAACCTTCAGGAGCATAATAAGTCTGCGTGTGAAGATGAAAGATGTAATTTTTAACTCAATTTTTGTTTTTATATCCATTGTATTGCTATGTTATGTGCTCAAATGCATGCAATTCAATGTTGACTTTCCATAGATGTCAACTTTTTATTTTGTTTCATGCAGTTTAATGGTGCCTTTGACATGCTTAAGGAATCGGAGAAAATGAACTTAACTCCTACTTCTAGCATGTACAATGCTATCATGGCTGGATACTTTCGAGAGGTACTTTAAGCTTTAGACCATGGGTGGCTCATGCTACTAGCCTTCTACATGTATTTTGGACTCCTAAAATTAATTCTTCCAAGTACTCTGCAGAAGAACACTTCTGGTGCATTGATGGTTCTCAAGCAAATGGAACTTGCAGATGTAAAACCAGATTCTAAAACTTTCAGCTATTTGATCAGCAACTGTGAATGCGAGGAGGATATTATCAAGGTACCACAGAGTTCTTCAAACTTTATTTCTAATTTTTACATGTAACAAAAATAAAAAATAAAAAACACTTTGATATCATTTGCCTGGTTACTTTTATGCCTTTCAACTTTCATTTGAAAGTGGCTTTGCCCCATCAATCAATTATTACCTATTGTAGTCAATTCCTTCTTTTATTCTTGAATACTAGGATAGTGAAACTTAGTCTATCACTCAAGTACTTAACTTATTAAAAGTCTCAAAATATTAGGAAGAATAAAAATGTAGAGGAAAATGCAATGAAATATATATTTTTTTGTTAATGTTTAACTTGGTTCGAACAAGGACAAACTGACATCTACATAAATCATACTCTAGTTTGCCATTATTGTTACCTATAGTGCTGTTGAACATATAACATAACTCATTGAAGTCGAATTTTATTTGTTGAGGAGTGGAGAAAGAAGATGACATCAAGCATCCTAGTTTCAAACCACAATCACAACTAGCTAGAACAAAAGTTCTGCTCTATAGATAATTTGCATTTTTGTTTAGCAAGTTGGGGTTGACCAAAAAATCAAGGAGTATTGTGATTTTTAGTGTTTTTTTAAAGCTTAATAAAGTTAATTTAATTAATTTATGTTTTGACCTTTAATTATGCATTATAGCATAAGTTTGGCTCTCAAACAGTCTTAACTTCAGCATGCATAACATTTACTACCAACGTTTCTTTTAAGTTGATGGGTATTAAATAGGACTTCATTCTAGACCTTGTACATGTGTTAACTTCAATGTGAGTTTTCCGTCGCTAATAGGAAGTTTGCCTTTCTCTTCTGGAATTAATTTTCTCATATTTCAATTTTTTTCCTCTCTCTGTTCAATTGTTTATTAAATATTAAGGTTTTACTATTGCTTCTGCAATATCTTTATCTTTTTTTTTTTTTTTTACACTCTTTGCCTCTCAATCCCTTAAATTTATCAATAGTATTCCGAGTTCCAACCCACACCCAGAGAACTCTTCTTTCACAGTTGGGACTCTGGTAAAGTCATAACTGATCATAAAGTTAATCCTTATATTGACTATCGCATGTAACTAACCTAGATGCCTAACAAACTATGCTTTGTACTCATCACTGAATACATTGTTTGCTTCAATCCAATTAGTATTCCCTTTAACGTTTTAAACTGTAAAATCTAAGCATTTTATGAATTTAAATTTAGAAGTTACTTATCTTCCTGTAGTACTATGAAGAACTGAAGAGTTCTGGAATTCAAGCGACGAAGCAAATTTTCATGGCGCTTATAAACGCATATGCTGCTCATGGACAATTTGAGAAGGCAAAACAGGTACTTGATCCGGGACTGGATCCCCATGCTTTTATTCCTTTGATGATTTTCATATATAGTTGCTTGAAATGTATGTGGTGTGCAACATAAGATAGTTTAGATGCTGTTTAATCTCGTAGGTTATATTGGATGAAGGAATACCGATGAAGAACTTGAATGAAATTAGAAGTGTGCTAGTCTCTGCTCTTGCTTCAAATGGGCAAACGTCTGATGCCCTGAAAGTTTATGATGAAATGAAAGAAGCTGGATGTGATTTGGAGCCAAAAGCTGCCATAAGTCTTATTGTAAGTTAAACGTTTTATAGTTGATAATTGTTACCTTTTTCGTTTCGTAGACTAAAGAACATTTCTTCTCGTCTCTAGGAGCACTATCCACTTGATGGGCCATTGAGTAGAATGCTTCAGTTACTTGCTGAATTGAATGGTCTTGACGACTGGATAGATTGTTGCCGCAGAATTATCTTATTTTCCTTAAAACACAACGATTTAAGGTTCCTCCATTACGAATTCATTGTTTACTTGGTTGGTTGGTTTAGATTTGTTCTTGTCTCTTATGAATGGGAATTTGATATAGAAATACTGTTTTCTTTAGTTCAACTCTTGATCTGTTGAAGCAGCTCAGTTACAGATGCTGTAACGATGAAGTGATTATGAGAGTCGCTTTTGATGAGGTCTGTTAGTTACTTCCCTTCCCATTATATTTATTATGTAATTTTCTTCCGATTCCCAATAATTTTTAGAACTCCTAGTTTAAGGATATTTTTAGCTCATAGAAGGGTGGCCCATTGGCAAGGACTTGGAGTCTCTTGATCATACTGGCTTTGAAGTTTCAAGTTTGAACCTTTGAGTGAGCTTAATATCAAAAACCCTTGATGTCTCATAGATCCGGTCCTTGAGATAGGCACAGGTGCAAGTGGAGCAAAGTCCGACTCCCAGTTATTGAGAAAAAAAAAAAAACGGTGTTTTTAACTCATTAAAATCACTTTTGGGAATTCAAAATTTTCAGACAATCAAATGTGATTTTGGAAATAGGTGATTATTGGGATTTTGTGCCCCTCTTTTGCCTTTTAATAGGAAAACACATCGATCCTGTACAAATAGCCAATTCTTCTTCCTTCATAAATCTCGCCAAAGTCTCAAAAGAGTTACCAGATTACTGAGTTTCTGATCTAAGATATAAATCTCCAAGCATTATCGTATAACTTGCTTTCTTGTCCAGGTTTTCTCCTTCATAACGGAGTCTGATCCTACATATTTAGAAACAGGCCTGCTATTGCTTCAATTCATAAAGAAGGATCTCGGTCTATCGCCTCCGCGGAGATGCCTCGACTTTCTCCTTGGTGCTTGTGCTAATGCCAAAGATGCAGAGAGCTCTCGCCTGGTCTGGAAAGAATATAAAAAAGCTGGCCTCCCTTACAATACCATTAGTTTCTTGAGGTAAAACCATGATGCTAGACTGCTACTGCTCGTTATGTTTCTTTCCTATGAGTCCTCACTCTTACTTGTTCCGCTTTCTTCAAGCTTAAACGGTTCGGTCTGACTGACTCCATCCACGGGCATTTTTGCAGGATGTATCAAGCTCTTTTGGCATCTGGGGACCAAACATCTGCAAAAGTTTTGCTCGATAAAATCCCGAAAGACGATACTCATGTTTGCTCCATAATCAAAGAATGTGAAATGGTTTATGGTGCATCTTCCTCAGTAAAGAAGACAAAAGGAAGAAACAAGAAAAAGATGCTGAAAATGAGCAGGACAGAAACGAGAAGTTAATAGAGGAGTAGGATTGGAATGAATTAACTTGCATTTTTGGCTTCTAGGAGTAGGTAAAGAAGGGCTAGAGATGAATGTGATGGCCTTTATTTCCTGACTGAAGAACGTGAAATAAAATTAACTTTGTATTCATTTTTTCTTTTTGTTCAAACTGGAGTAGGAAATAGAATTATCGGCTTTCGAGATGGTAGTAGATGTCTTTTTCACTGAACTACGGTCGAACTGGCACCTTGTATTGATTCAACTATTTTAATAACAAGAATCAAATTTAGTTTTATAAGATTTGAACATGTGAGATCTATTTTTGAGACCATGTTTTACAAAACTAAACTAACTGTAACTGTAGTACCAACGTGAATTACTGATACATGCGTAAGTTTGAATGGTGAACTAAAATATAATTTCGAACATAATTAAATAGATAAAATATTTATTTATTGTTTTATCATCCAAAAGGTCAATGATTCAATTTTTACCTCAAACCCCTTAATATAAGTGGTCGCTCTTGAAGTCTCAAAAAGATTTTGGGTTTAGGTAATTGACCCAAAGCAACTTAAATGACCTAATGATCTCTTCTGACATGTAAGTAATGGTGAAAATACCATACTACCCTTCATTTGATGTAAAAGTGTGAGGTTGGGTTTTCATAATTTGGTGGATGCTTATGCATTTCAATACTTGGAAAAAAAAAGCAAGAATCGAACGCGGGCGTGAAGAGGCATGTTCGAGCCACCAAGCCAAGGAGATATTGATTAAAACAATATAACCAATAATATATATTACAAAATTCAGAGCGGCTCGAGCTTTTTAGGCCTATCATAAATCTGCCTCTGCTATAGAATAATTTATTGGAGAAATTTTGGGAAATAAGGAAGAGGCCAAAACTTGAGCAAAAATAGTATAGAGTTTTGGCCTTATTTTCCATGCGAGGTTTGAAGATTTGATAGCAAAAAATTCCTACTATTCTTCCTCCCAAGTTCGAGAACCCAAGACTAAAAGAATAATCTCTCAATTTCTTCAAATCAACCGTTCAAATCAAAGTTTTTATTCATATTATATATATATATATATAATTGCTTTTACAAAATGTACTTGAGAAAATATTACACGAAACAAATGGGAGTGGGAAGAGAAGAGAGAGAAGTTTGAGAATTTGATTTCAAAAAAAAAAAAAAGTTTGAGAATGCAAGGGAGAAGAGAAGAGAGAAGAGAGCATCATAATTTCGTTAACTCATCAGAATATCAGTATAACTTCAAAACTAATCAAAACCCTACAATTTTCAACCAAAAATATAAAAACTTATAAATTTATCAATCCATAACAGAAAGCAAAAAAGAAAATAAGAGCAAAAATCCAAACTCGATTGGTAAAACAATAGAGAACATACCTCGTTTAAACGGTTGAAAATGTATTCAACCTTCAAAATGAAGGTTAAAGTTAAATGATCAAAACCAATAACTAGCTAAACAATCTTTAACTTTTTTGAATTTTGGTGTGCTTCATAAAATAGAACATTCACGTTCAGGATTTTTGTTCACTGAAATATTAATGGAAAGTTAAAATTGGTGAGCACAAATTACTTTTGTAGGAAGAAGTTGGTGAGATAAATTCTGAAATTTAATATACTTTAACGAAGTTAATTGGTTACTCGGTTTTTTTATGGGGCATTAGATGTGCTTTTTTCTATAAAATTTAGGCGAAAATTTTTTAACTTACTCAAAATGAAGGTAATACCGTAAATTCATCAAGCTAACGTGTCAGAAAAAGCTAATTTGAGTTAAAAAAAATTGTTTTTTGAAAAGATGGATCATCAAATTGAAAATTATTTCAAGCCATTTGAGTCCATTTCTCCAATTGGTTTCATTTAAACAAGGGTTTAAACTTTAAATTATAATTGTCCATTCATCGTAAAACACTTTTTTTCTTATCAGAAAAAAACATTTTTAAATTTGGGTCAATTTTCATTCATCAACGTCTTTGACTCTTTGCCACTGTAGGCGGAAATCGGGCGAGTGTTCCATATGTTGTTTATATCTCCAAAATCCGTAGGAAAACGGAATGCGCCACTGAATAGAAATTTCGACAGTGGCCCGTGTTCTATCTTTGAACCATTTGAGCTTCAATGAGTTATCTTCTTGGTGTTTCAGTCAGTGGGTTTTATTCTAGGGATATGTTTGATTGAATGCTGCGTCGTACGATTACGAATTTTGTTTGATTCTGTTTATCTTTTGATTTCTTCGAAATTTTCAATTGCCTTCACTCCCAATTCTACTCTTGAAGAAGGAAAAGAATTCCGATGCATGTGTACTAGACGAGAAACGGTGCTTGTTACTTTTCCTAATTTCTAATTTTCTGTTATCCTTTCTCATGTTGCTGATTGCTAGGAAATAATCTCCATCCAGTGATATGGTTGATGGATTCTAATACTTTTGCAGGTTACTGTTTACTAATGTCCGGAATGAAGATGTGAGTGATTGTGTTGTAGTTGAACCCCAAATTGGTTTATATTCTCTAGTAGTTACATTGAATCCCCCATTTACTTTGTAGATCAATGTTGATGGCTCTCCATTTGTTGTTGCTGGTGGAATCGATGTTATAATCCGTGTTATTGATGCTGCCACTGAAAGATAATACAAGGTATCATCATATAAACCACCTAGGACTTCAAATTATGATACACTCTTTGCTGTGATTGATCATGTGACATCTAGAGTTTAGTTGGAAGCTATCTAAAGATCTCACTATTAGTTTGTTTCAAAGATTTGATCGGTTTTGGTGAATAGATTTTAGCCTTTGCGCTTTTCCTTTCAAGTTAGTTCAGAGCTCATTTTAGCCATCTAGAACATGTACAGAGAGATACTTTACCAAAGCTCATTTTGCATTCAATTATTAACTAGTTGATTATCTGTTAGTTTAGTATTATCTGGTGATTTCTAGCAGAAGGAAATGAACTAACCTGCTTATGAAGTGGAAATTTTCTATTATAACACTTACATGTTGCTGAATTAGACAGGAAAAGTGGGAATTAGTCCCTTCTTTCACCCTTTGAGTCCTATAAAGAACCAACCAGTTTTTCCAACCCCTTTTTGTTTGAAACAAAACAAGCAGAGAAAGCCATATCTTTATAAACAAATCAGTTGGCTGGTCACAACTTATGCCACAGTAAAAAGATGTTCTTAGATTGGAACCTTGCTTTCAACAAGTGCATGATTTGTCATCAAACCAGTTGATTTGTTTTCTGGATTAGATTTTAAATTATTCCCCCAATGCAACTTGTAGTTTGTGCAAGTTGAGGTTTGGAGAAAATCCAAAGTTAGGAATTGTTTGGCCAAAGAGGAAAAAAAAAAAAGGGTGAGAGAGAGTTTAGAAGAAAACTCTAGGAATTTGTACTCATATTTTGAAGTTTGATTGGCATAACAATCACTTACTGAGAACAGAGAATATTTACAGGCCTTTTTTGGAGTGGGAACAAAACAAGTACTGTCTACCTCTAATCTTTATCCTTCACAACTGATAGTGATAGATTGCTGTCAAATCCCAACTCATTGTGGATCCTCTTTTTGAAGGTTTCAACTGGTCTCTTCAATATTTGCTTTTTGGAGTTGAAAGGAAAAAGAATAGCGATTACATCATCTTATCAATTTCATACCTGGTTTCCATTTCATTCTGAAGCCTGCTTTTCGTTTCATCCTGACCCTCAACTTTTAAGTGTCTCTTTTAGTTTCTGAACTTTTAAACGTTCAACTTTAGTCTCTAAATATAAAAGTCATTTTAGTCCATGTTGTCAGATATTGTCCACTCAGATACAAACAAGTGGATTATGTCAGCTTTTTATATAGTATTTTATTTGAAGTTAATAGTAAGGACAAATAGTTGTTTTGTTTATAAAGGATATATATGGGATTAAAATGGAATATTTAAAAGTAAAATAGATAAAATAGGATCTAAGCTCATCTTAAATGGTTTTGATGTTAATGTATTCTTTCTTGTTTTAAGCGAAAGATTCAAACCACTTGGTTGATTTCTTTTTTCAATTTTGAATTAGCTATTTTATAAAATAAAATTGAATTGGTGATGTAAGTGAGCATATCACTATCTATATGATTTATGTTGGAGCAAATACATAACGTCCAATGTAACTGTGGACTCGCCAACTAGTTGAGATGTATATCTACATCAAAATGTTAAATGTTCGACTCTTTACTCTATTGTGTTGAACTAAAAAGATTAAAAAATAAATCAGTGTAATAATTGTTAGTTGATAAAGAAATTTTCATCGAGCATCAAATATCAGGATGATGAATTCACGATGAAAACAAAAGTTGTATAAACATTCTTAAAATGGAGGCTTAATTGATGAAGGCAAATGGTGAAAGTAAAGTTAGAGAAACCATATAATATAATAAACATTTTCATCTAGAAAATAACAAACATAACATGTTATGTAGAGAGAGAAAATAGAAAGTTTTTAATGTCTCAACAAATATTCTTGAGCGTTTGTTTGGATGATGGGAAAAAGGAAAGGAAAAAGAAAGGGAAATTGATATTGAGATCACATGTGAAGATGATAAAGTCACGCAACTGTGAGTTGTGACTTTCAACTCCACTTTTCCTCTTTATCTTTTCGCAACTAATTGGGCTCTTATTTAATGGCCCAATTTCTCTTCCTTATTGGGCTTCGCTCGGCCCATTATGAATGTGTGACCAATCTAGCAAAACCGAACTTTTTATGTTTGTGTCTATTTAGTCTTTCAACTTCAAAAATTCTAAATTTCGTTTTTTAACTTTTAATTTTGATTTTAATAAATTTTTATTATTGATATGATTATTTAAATATTAACGTGGCACATGAACTAATGAACTTAGTGATTAAATGCACTACTTTATTTTATCCAATTTGTTTAATCTCTAATTTTAGAGTTTAGTGATTAAATGAACAAAAATATCAAAGTTTATTGGCTAAATTTGTAAATATAGCTTGAAGTAAAATACATGGTAGCAAGTAATTATTAAGACTACGATCCATCGATAAAAGTTAGGTTAAATTACAGGCTTAATTCCTTAACTTTCAAGATTGTGTCTAATAACTAGTTCATTGTATTATTATTTATTATTATTATTTTTTAAATAGTTTATTGTATTTTAAAGTGTTTAATAGATCTCTAAAATTTTAATATTGTTTCTAATATGTCATTGAATTTTAAAAAATTATAGAACATGAATTCACCAACACAAAAATTGAAAATCAAATGACTTTTTGAACTTCAAGGACCAAATAACGTAACAATTAGTGATGAGTATGATTATAATACATCAATATATGAATTAAAAAATATTAAACAAATTATTGGTTATATAATTGTTTAACCAAACCAATATCTTTAACAAAGTTTGAGATTAAGCAACTTTCCATATACATTTGTCCATAAAACTTTATATAAAATTTATTTTAGTTAAATTTTAAAATTTTATATACACGTCTATTCTAAGTAATTTACAATAGTCTTAAGGAAGAGATTAATATATACTATATTTTGTAACTGACTTTAATATTAATTGGAACAAATAGCTATAAAAAGTCATACCAAGATATTCAGTCAAAAAAATTGGCTCATCCAATATGTCCAATTGCCCATAAATTAACCAAATTTGTTAACTATACACAAAACTTTTTTTTCTATATATAATACAAAATTATATTGTTCCACTGAATAATTAGTAATTATATATTAAACCAAATTTAGGATAAAGAAAAATACCAACTATATATGAACTATGACCTTTATGTCCTTTGCTAAATTAATGAGTACATTCAAATATCTATATATATTTGAAACAAGATATTATGAATTACTTTATTATTATTTTTTTCCTTTAATATAGATGCATATTTTGTCCATTTATGTGTGTATATGGACAATAATTTAAAGCCTTAAAACTAAATGGGTTGGAGGTATATGACAAAGCTAAGGACTGAAACAAAATTAATTACAGAAGTTCAAAAACTAGCTAGCGCTTCCGAAGCCTCCGCCAGCCATTCCTCTAAGCAAATCGCATGTTGTTGATTCAATGATGCTCTTCGCACCAAAATGTGAGCAACTTCATTTCCATCTCACTTCGTGAACCTGTAAGTTTGTAAAAACAATAAGTGTGTAAATATTTTTTACTTTATTATTATTATTACGTTTGAAATATTTTATTAAGTTAATAAAAACAACAACATTTTAATCGGAGATATATGTTAATTACTGAACTAGATTTGACTAGTAATTATATTAGAATCATTCAAATGACTGAAATTAAATTGCCTCAAAATAATTTGGTAGGATTTCTTTTTAAAAACTATTTTTTAAAACATATTTTAAAATCTTATTAAATTAAGGAGAGATTGACATTTTCTTTAGTTATGGGAAAGAAAAATGTTGACTTGTGCCAAAAGAAATGATTTTGGATACGTTTTGTAGATTATTGTCTTACATATTTGACCTATTGATTTTTCTTAAAGCAAATTTACATTATAAAGGAAAACAGAAAAAAAAAACATTTGAATCTCCCTTCAAAAAATTAATACATAACCAGTCAAATTATGTTAAGATATGATTGGATTTCGATTTGATTCTTCTACCAAACTAAAATGTGATGTTGAATTTGTATATGCAAATCTCCAACTAAATTTACTATTCTTGAAAATCAATTTTAATTGATACTTAATTTGACATCGTTGTAGCTTCTAAAATAATTGAGTTCAATGGTAGTTTTTAAAAAGTTAGTCACACCATTAATATTTTGTAAATTTCAATTTTAAAATAAAAAAATTTAATATTAAATTTGATAAATTGATATTAAATTGCTGTGACTTAGCTTGACTAAAATAGACATAATATTTTACTTGTACATCTAGTTGCGTTAATATTTAATTTCCTTTATAAAAAATTGGTTTTATCCAAAAAAAAAACCTAAAACTTTATAAGTTAATTATTTAAAAATTCATATAATATAAATTATAAATTATATTTTATCTATTAAATTATTTGATAAAACATTTAAAAATTATTTAAATTAAAAAAAATTGACAGAGATGAGATACATTGTCAATCACATTGTTTCAAAATTTTCGTCGTAGATAATGATATGGAAAGATAAAATGAAAAAATTCACTAGATTTTCAATAAAACTAAAATTTAAAACTTATATCAACGTAATTAATTCTAAAAATAATATTTAAACTAATAAATAATGAGTTTTATCGAATAATAAAAATAAAAATAGTTACATGGTAATCAAAACGAACATAAGTATTCAATCAAATTAAATAATTCAATTCGATTTTATTTAGCTATAGATTTTCTTAATATTTCTAGATCATAGATTCGAATCCTATCGGTTTACAATAATATGAATATAATATGAATATGACGATAAAACTGTTTTAAAAAAACTAATTTTCAAAAGATTACAGAGTTGATTTAAATTAGTTAGTTCGAACAGAAAATAAATAAATAAATAGTGTAAATATTAGTTCACAGTGCCTTCCAATTTCCATTGATTAGAATCTGTGGGAGTCTGCTGTTTCTCTCCCTAAAATTTAGAATTTTAGAGAGAGAGATTTTGACAGCCTTGAGAAGAGGAAGAGACGTGGGAATTGCAATTGGTTATCGAGAAATTCAATTCATAATTCCCGAAGCACAGCAGAAGAAAAGAAACCCAACCCAAGTCCTGATTTTGTAATTAATATATATATATGTAGTTTTGGAGAGAGAGAGTCGCTTTTATTTGCCGAAACAAAGATTACTTCTTCTTCTTCGTTATCCAAATACCCAAATCCGCGTTCTTCCCTTTATTTTCTCCATTCGGATCTCTCCCGGTGATTTCTGGGCTGTATTCCGTTTTCAAATCCGTCTTCTACCCAATCCCCTGTGGCCTGTGCTGTGTTGGATGGATTGATTGATTGATTTCATTGTTTTAATATTTGGGATTCTTTTTAAATTCTAGCTTCCGCTTCCTTTTTGGGTTTATTTGTTTATTTTTAATTCTTTCGGCAAAGTTAAAAAAGAGAGAGTTCAAAAGCTTGTTTCAGGAAAGAAAAAGGGTGCTTCGAATTTTGGTTTTTTGGATTCCCTTTTGTGGGGTATTGAAGAGATTGTATATTGGTGTGCACCGTTTTCGTTGCTTTTGGTTTTTTGCGTAAAACTTGGGGTGGTGCAAAATGACTCACGATCGAATTTGAAACCGTCTGTATTGATTTGGAGGCGTCGGATGATTGCCGATGATTGCCGATGATTGAAGAAGCAGATGGAGACAGTTGGAAACTGAATGAAATTTAGAGGGGCTGTTTCTTGCCTTTTGGTAATTTCTGGGGCTTGCAGAAGAAACAGCCTGGGGTTATGATTAGAGTAGAATTTGGAGAATTGGTGATTCTTGTGTTTTGGGCATTGGGTATTTTGCTTACTTTGATTCTGGGGATGAGGAATGATGGAGCTTTGAAACAACAGGGAACCGTAGCCCGCTCTGGGCGGGCTCACGAGTTCATATCAAGTTCATTTCGTGCCTTTTCTAGTTACATGAAGATTGTATCTGCTGGTGCTTCTACTGTGGCGCGGTCTGCTGCATCAGTGGCATCGTCTTTGGTTGATAAGGATGAAGAAGCGAATGGCTTTCAGGTATGTGCTGAACTTGAATGAACTTCAAATACTTGGGATTTTGATGTGTTTCTGGCTCTGTTTATTATGTTTTTTGGAACAATGATGATACCTGCTGAACCCATTTGGATTTTGTGTTTTAGTCTATTTTTGTTATTGAGAGGGCTTTATTTGGTGGAATTGCCTAATATGCTAATGCATGTTTAGAAGGGTACAAGGTTTTGGTTGCCATTTATTTGAATACAAGGTTTTGGTTGCCATTTATTTGAAGAATGATATAAAAGAGTTTGTTATCTTGCATGAATGCGGCATACATTTGGAAAGGCATGCTACCATCGTACTTGGGATGCTGGACTTTTTCCAACACTTGCTGCTCACCTCCATAATTGCTTTGTTTTGTGGAATATATCTTTATTGTGAGCGTTGTATCGTAACATTGTTGTACTGTATTTGATTTTGAGAATTTATTGGAATGCAACTCTCCATGTTCATGATGGCCCAGAATTGGGGAATTCTTCATTTCACGATGTCCAATTTTTTCTCATAGTTGATCATTGAGCAAGGGGAAAAAGTTTGATTGGTTTTACCCTTCTTTTACTGGCAAGGGAAGTAGCGCTTGTGAAATTATTCAGTTTTCCCATCCTCATTTGATGAATGATCTATGGGTTTTGTTTTTGTATTGACTACAATGGAGTTGTAAATCGATGAATTTTCAGTATCACTAGATATTTCCGAAATCCTTTAATTTTCATTTTGGTTTTTCCTTGTTAATCTTTATCTGTATAATGTTAACACCCTTTCATTTTACTTGTGTTTTTCTCGTAATAAATGTGAGATGATTAATTCATAATTCTGTTGTTATATGGTAAAGGTGAATTGGGCTGGATTTGACAAGTTAGAGTGGGACGACAATGTCATTCGACGGGTTCTTCTGTTGAGTTTCCGTTCTGGTTTCCAGGTCTGGGATGTTGAGGAAGCAAATAGTGTCCAAGACCTGGTTTCTCGTTATGATGGTTCTGTTTCAAATATGCAAGTGCTGCCAAGACCAATACCATCAATGAGATCAGGAGATAAGTTTGCTGAAAGCAGGCCATTGCTGGTGCTTTCTGCTTATGGTTCCATTGCTGCTGCTTGTGACATTCAGGATCGGTTAGCCACTTCTGGCAATGCAGCCATCCCAAAGTGCCAGGAACTAGTGGATGGAAGTTTTATGCCTACTTTTGTTAGGTTTTATTCCTTGAAATCTCAAACTTATTTTCACGAGCTCAAATTTAGATCAGTTGTATATTCTGTGAGATGCAGTCCCCTGGTTGTTGCCATTTCTCTGGCAAATCAGGTATGTTTGCTTATATAAATAGGATGCAGTCTTATTATTTGTTATTTTAAAGCATTAAATAATTGTAGTCTGCATAATAATTTTGAGTCCTTTGTATGGCAGATACACTGCATCAATGCTACAACTTTGGAGAAGGAACATATCATTCTTACTAATCCTGTCGTTTCGGGTTTTCCTGGATCTGGAGGTGGGATAGGTTATGGACCCCTTGCAGTGGGACCCAGATGGCTGGCTTATAGTGGAAGTCCGATCATGGTTTCAAATACCGGGCGAGTGAGTCCACAACATTTAAAACATTCTGCTAGTTTTTCTCATTCTTCTTCAAATGGGAGTTTAGTTGCTCACTATGCAAAGGAATCAAGTAAGCAAATTGCGGCAGGCATTGTCACCCTTGGAGACAAGGGTATCAAGAAGCTATCGAGGTATTACTCGGACCTCTTACCCGAAAGCAACAATTCTCTTCAATCAGGTGCTCAGGGTTTGAAGGGCATTGGGGCTCTTAATGGCCAAGTGACAGATGCGGATAGCATTGGAATGGTTTGTATTAATTTTTAGTTTGTTTCTTCCTACCTCGTCTATTTTCTGCCTTCATATTTTGATGTGTTTTTTTAGTACAATGATCTCTCTCTTTTTGCTTTAATTTAATTGTTTGATGATAGATGATTCTTTATTTTTCTTTGATTAGGTTTTAATTATGCAGTTGAACTGATTCAGCTAAAAATTAAAAAAAAAAACTTCTCTTTTTGCGGATGCTTTACCACGTTCTCACTTTTACATTTTGTTATCAGGTTATTGTCAAAGATATCATTAGCAAAGTTATAATCACCCAGTTCAAGGCACATAAGAGCCCGATTTCTGCTTTATGCTTTGATCCAAGCGGCACCATCTTGGTGACGGCTTCTGTTCACGGTCATAACATAAATGTTTTCAAAATCATGCCAAGTTCAAGTTTAAATTCATCTGCTTCTGGTACTGGTGCATCTTCTATCCATCTATACCGTCTCCAACGTGGTTTCACTAATGCAGTAAGAGCAATGCATCTCTATTTCCTTGTTGGACCATCACAGCATGGATTACTTTTATAATTGTATTTCTGGATGTATTTGTCAGGTCATACAAGACATCAGTTTCAGCTATGATAGCAACTGGATCATGATTAGTTCCTCTAGAGGGACAAGCCATCTCTTTGCCATAAACCCTGCTGGAGGACAAGTGAATTTCCCATCTGCAGATGCTAATTTTATTATCAGAAATGGTGGGTCGGGAGTTCCTGCCAGACAAACCCTTCGGCGGGTTGATTCTGGTTTACACATGCCTAGTAAACAGGACCCATGTGCTACTGGAGTTCCGGTCACACTTTTTGCTGTTAGTAGAATTCATCATGGAAGTAATGGCTGGCGAGGCACTGTAAGTAGTGCTGCAGCTGCTGCAACTGGTAGAATGGGTACTGTTTCAGGAGCTATTGCTTCAGCTTTCCACGACTGCAGGGTAAACGCTTTGCATATCGACAATGGATCTTCTGAGGCTAGGTACCACATATTAGTGTTTTCTCCAACTGGTAGTATGATACAATATGCATTGCGAGTTGGTTTAGACTCAACCGAAGTTTTGCCAAGATCTAGCACCGCTCTTGAGTCTGTTCCCGAGTCGGATGGTAGACTTGTAGTTGAAGCTATCCAGAAATGGAATATATCCCAGAAACAAAACCGGAAGGCTCAAGATAATAGCATTGACATATACGGTGACAATGGAGGTTTAGAATGCAATAAAAATTATTGTGGAGAAATTAATGGAAATCCTATTTATCTTGGAGCAAGTGACACTGTATTGAAGGCAAAGGCTTGCAGGGAGGAACTACACCACTTCTATATTTCAGAAGCGGAACTGCAGATGCAAGCTGCCCGTTCTCCGCTGTGGACAAAACCTGAGGTATCAGCTGTTTGACTTGTGTCTTTAAGAAGTAGGCCTGTTTTGTTTGAGATTTACATGTCTGCTTTATTTGTTATCGATGGTCAGATATATTTTCAAGCAATGGCAAGAGATGGTGTCAAAGGTGACGAAATTGGCAGTCTTGGTGAAATTGAGATCGAAAGGATCCCAACCCGTATGATTGAGGCTAGGTCGAAAGACCTGGTTCCTGTTTTTGACTATCTTCAGTTACCCAAAATCTCACAGACAAGGTGAGCTAAATTATATAATTTCTTATGCTTCGTAATTTGGATTTTGACTCTTAGGAAGCAGAAAGATCCTGCTGAAAAGGGCATTCATGATAAAGAATCTATAGGGGGTTATACTTGTATAAAATTCTACTATGTCCATGTCCATAATCTTTTACTTTTCAATAACCGACTCGTTCAGACTTTGTGGAAGAGGAACATTGTTGCTAATTATGCTTGCTATTATTTACACACGACACGATTATTTTTGTTGTTTTTCATCAAATAATTCCTCTCAAACTCAGGTATTTAGACAACAACAGTGAGCCGTTGCTGCACCAGAAGTTGTCTGTCCTCGTTGAAAATGGGAGGCAATCATTGGGGAACAATGCGGGTCCCCACGACTCTATTATCGGTAACGAACAGGCAGGAACTGGTAGGCATGGTTGCAAGATGGTGACAGAATCTAAGGGCATTGTAAATGACGAGAGCCCAAACTCAGAAACTCAGCTCAATAATGTAAATAATTGTACAGAGAGCTTAAGAATGGAGTCTCCACACAAGTCTGTAAATAACCAAGAAAGTGGCCCCAAGGTGGTGAATCTTTTTGAAGACACAGATGATGAGTTTTGATTAGAGGTAAATAATTCTACAAACCTTGGTAAACTCTCATCTCTTTAGTTAATACTCTGTCCTGCTGATGAAGTGTTGGTTCATAACAATGGTAACTTTATCATCACTCTGGTTTGCAGTTTATTCTTTTATTTCTCCTGGAAGCTTTATTAATGGTGTATATGGGTGTAAGTGTAGAGAAGAGTTGAGATGGAGAAATATGTGGTTACAGTGTTTTAATGGAGTTTCATTTAATGGTCAACTTTGTAAATAACACAGCTAAATTATCTCTCCCAACTAGCAGTTTTATAATGTAAATAATAGAACTGCCTTCATAACTACTACTGACTTGATATGTAATTTATGAATCATTGAATGTGATTCACTGTGTTGCAGTGAACATGAGCATTTATGTTGTGTGGTTGATCTGCATTAGAGCTGTCTCATATTTTGTATGATTTGTCTTTATACTGAAACTTTTAGTTGAAATTTTTCCACCCGGGTCGAGTAGTTGCCTTGCGAGACTAGTTGAAGTGCCCTTAAGACTTAAGTTGGTTTGACCACTCGTAGATATTAAAAAAAGTTCTATTTTAGAAATTTAATTATGTTAATTCGGAGATGTTAATTTTTAGTTGCGTGTCTTCGTCCATCATAGGCTGACAACCTTAAACATGATGAGTCAAGACGCCAAGGATGTTCTACTAGGTTCCAAAAACAAATCGAGGGTTTTTGTTAACACCTCTTTTATCTTAAATCATTCAATTAGGGGTTTGTTTTCATGCCTTTTGGAAATCTTACTCTTACTATTAATAATTAATAATGAAAGGGCTTTCTTCCTCAATTTGTCTATAAAAAAAGGTCAGAATTTATATTGTGTAATTTTGATTTGAGATCAATGTCTTATCTAGTTGAGTTATGTTCATGTTGGCGTAATAAGAATTGCTGGTTTCCTCTATTTATTTTTAACTCATACAAAGCATTTTATCGTTGCTATTAACTTTTCAAACTAAATAACTCTAATTAGGAAGACAATTTGAGATATTGGACTCGTTCGAACCAAATCAAAGATATTGGACTCGTTGGAACCAAATGATAGTGGAAGTGGTTTCTCTTTTAAATGATAGCCTCTTCTTGGCATTTTGTTTCTTTGTTGGTAGGTCATCCGTTTGTAATCAACGTGCTGCTAGCTCAATTGTAACTATAAACTAGTTTGAAGAACAAGGTTGCAAAAAGCAACTTACAAAAGGAAAACACCCTTGAAACTTCAATCCAAATTAAACTTAACTATCTCTGAAGTCTTGGAAGTAGATAAATCCAAGCAAAATGTATTTTAAAGATGAATAATGCAATTATCTCTTCGTTAGATATGTAATACAAAAAATTCATAGAATAGAGTCACATACGAATTAAAAATTTGAAGGTTGGAATCTCTGATTTTTCTCTTTAGTTGAGCAAATCTTCATACTACCTCAATTCGAACCTAACTTTTTTCTCCCGTAAGAGTCTAAACCTTTTAATAATTTGTCGCTCACAAGAGGAATTCTTTAAAGATAATTTGAATGCACAAAACTTAGAGATATTAAAAAAAGAATGTCCAATTTGGCTTTTGTTTGTGAACTTGGATGGCTTGAGGAATCAAAATCAACTTCGTATCTATGAGCAAAGAGTGCTGATTTGGGGGTGTTTCATTTTTTTAGTAACATTCAATTTGGGAAAGATACAAATGTACAAGATACAACTATCATTTTCATAGTTCAAACACAAGACCAGGTCATTAAAAAAAAGAAAAAGAAAGAAAGAAGATACATTTGGTAATTATGGATGGGATTGGTTGGTGATGTGAAAAAAGATATCCGATAATGAATGATTCATTGAAAATTTCATGTTTTCTAGGCCAGATTTATTCTAATATATTTGCAAACTAGTGTTGATTAATAACTAAATATTTAGTTCAATATAAAATAATATTAATTAATTTATTAATATACATGTTATAAATTTTGTATAATTATTATTTTATATTTTATATATTTTAATTTCAATTAAAAAAATAGTTTACAGCATGAAATAGTATATTTGTCAAAATATTTATCTTTTTTTATTGTAACTCTGTATTTTAATGTTTCAAATTAAAATTTTGGAAATGTTAAAAAAAAAGTTATTTTCAAAATTTCAACTATTTAAAAATGACATAGTTTGTTCTATGCTTTTGATTGAGGTGTTTAATCCCAATTTAATCCATTAAAATTTTAATATTTCATCATGCAAACCTGATTTAAAATTTATTTAGCCTCCATCCAACTTGTACTATTTTTAACAGTGGATTAAAATTTGAATTGAATCACTGCAAGTGCATATTATCATTAGAGTTAAAAAGACTAATAGTAAGTTCAACCAAAAAAAATATCGTGGACCCAATGTATTTTTTTGACGTATCAAATTTATTATTCTTCACATTTATAACCCCTTGGTTGAAATGAGTGGAAATAACATTTACAACCTCTAAGTATTCACCCAAGTAGAGAAAATAAATTCAGAGAGGGGCCATTAAATATAGTCATTACCAAATCACTCACTTATTTACAATTACAATTACAAAACATTACAAGTTCTTCCATTATCCTCCGATCGCAAATAAAATAGTCAACCCCAAAATCAATTGACAAACCTACTTAAATGTAAATACTGATATATCAGTCGACAATGACAGATTAAAAATGAAACTATGGGACATTTCCAATGGTTCTTTATGGCAACCTAGGTTGCCAATAGCTCAAGCAACAGGTGGCCGGAGTACGTGGTCCTGTGACGTGTCCACCGCAGCGGGTGGCATGAACTGCCACATGGCAACTCCTGGGTGGTAACCAATGAAAGGAACCAACTTATTGCCCGGAGCTTGGCTCTGAGCAGCAGCAAATGTAGGGATGGCTGGAGGTAAGAAGCCAGGTTGAGCATGCATGGACTTCACTTGCTGCTCTAGCTTCTCCTTATCTGCCTTGAGCCGCTGCTTTTCGTCGCGGAGCTCATTCTTCTCGGTCTGGACGAGATAGGAGAGAAGAAATTAATGATCATTCACCAGGAAAAATTTCTCCTTGCAAATAGATCAATTCTCCTTGCAAATAGATCAATAGTAAACAAATCGAATGTAAAAGCTTATGTAATGGAATGAGTATCATTGGTAAGAAAGTCAAGGAGACTTGCCTTCAACTCTTTAATCTTCTCCTGGAGACTTGAATTGGATTCCTTTAGTTTCTGGGCTTCCCCACGTAACTGATTCACCATTCGAACAGCATCAACTAAAATTGCAGCCTTGTCAGTTTTGGGTGGTCTTCCAGGATCCAAAATGGAGCCCAGTTCCAAAAACCTGTCGTGAGATTCATTATAAAAAAATTAAGCTCTGTTGATGAGACAAAACATACAATCGTCATAAACATGCATATGACTGGCCATTTATTAGTGTTAGAGGTAGTACCTGTCATTGAGCCTATCCCTCCGTAACTTCTCCCTACACGCTTTGGAGCTTGATGCACTAAATGAATCAGATCTGACCCTGCAACAGAAAAGACTTGAGTATTTTATTTGATGCCATATTAGATTTTACTTAAATCAACTCAACATCCTAACATGGTCAGCCTTAGAACTCAAAGGACACAGATATACAACCCATAGAACAGATCCAGTTCAAGTGAAGAAGTACATCTTAACACGGTCAGCCAAACTTCACAACAGAAGATACATGAAAGCAAAAAAGTGGACCCTCAGCCTTTCACTAAATCATCGTAATTAGGACCCTATATCCAATTCCAACTTGAATCTGTCAACTGTATGAAATATAATTACAATAAATTCATTGAAGCTCAAATGAACGAGGAAAGATCATAGCTTTATCACTCACTCCAATCCAAGCCACAAAACCAGATGCTACTCAGTTAACTTATAACTGGTAAGCGAACAACTATCCCATGTGCTGTGCACAGGGTAAAAGACCTTGTGACTCAACAAAAGGTCAGAGACTCAAATTCCGTCGGTCACACTAAACAAGCAATTACCCTATATTACCCCCTACCACTAAATGCTATAGCATCTAGGCATCTAGCCTGCAAACCTAGTTTCCGGCCCATTAGAACATAACCCTTATGCAAATTTCTGGGAATAAATTAATATTGAAGGTCGTACCTCTTTTTTGAGCCAGATTCTAGACGGCCATCTGGTTCTGCCAACGATCCATCAATTTCCACACTAGAATAGCATGCCCAAGGAAAAGAAAATCAGCAGAAAAAAAAAGCGGGAAAAAAATAACATGTCCAAGAAAAAATTATGCTGATCAACAAGAACTCAAATAACATCAAAAGCTCTACTTGACATCAATTACCATTTCTAATAATGTAACGGACACTTCAAGTCACAGCTGAAAATAAACAATCAGTCAACATAGCACAAGCACGAAATAACAAAAGAAAATTTTCCTGACAGACAAATGGCCATCTAGTACAAATTCGCATAAACAAGAAGCCAAGCCGCACAACGGTAAAACATCCTTTACAAAGTATCATCCCAATCTACAATTTTCAAAATACAACAACAAATAGTTCTTGGTATATTAACGCCCCCCAACCCCTAAAAAGTAACCCCAACATCTTGTAAATTTCACCCATCAGCCCCGTAGACGCTAAATCAATTCGGTCAACGACTTAATGGTGTACCATACAGAATCAGAAGTAAAGCATCCATAAACCATTTCCCCCACAATAAAACATCCATAAACCATTTCCCACACAATCTCTCGTATTCCCGTCATAAGTCAGACGTCTGAGCCATCACCACCTGAATCTAAAAACGTTTGGTTGAAATCTGGCTCAAAAGAAAGGAAACCATCTCGAAATTTAATCCCGACAGCAATAAAAGAGCAACTCCAAACGAAAATCCGGGAAGTATTATATTTTCCCTCAAAATACGTAATAGAAATATTAACAGTTGAGCTCTGATAAAAAAAAATAATAAGAAGAAGGTAAAAAAACCATAAATAAAAGAGATCTGAAGAGTACCCGACATCAGGGGTGCCATTCAAGGGTTGAACAGCCCACGAGAAGCTTGAACTTGTAACTGGGAAATTCGCATCCGGTACAGGGATGTTGTCGATCAAACCATAGTCAAACAACCAATTGGGATTTTCGGGAGATACCATGTCTCAAACAATAAAAAATAAGCGTCGGATCGCCGGAAAATTTGAAAATTTCCCGGCCTGAAAAACTGGAAGAAACACGGAATAATAATTGAAGGAAAATTGTGGGACTAGGGTTAGGTTTAGGGTTAGGGTTAGGGTTACTGGTGAAGAGAGAAATTTGAAGCAGACGATTTTCCAAGGACGATAAAATTTCTACAAGATTAGGAGTTATGGGTACTGCTGGCATATTGGAACCCAGTGGGAGAGACACGTCGTCATCTGTACGTGGTTGGGCATGGGCTTTATAAGCCCAACTCAGGCCCAATTGACCGTCTATATTGAAGGTTTTAATAAAGATCTCGAGTTCTCAATTTATATTTTTTTTAAAAGTGATAAAAATTAAAAAATTATAATTAATATTTTTTTCAATTTAACATTCGTATTTCAACATTTATTATTTTATAATTAATGTTTCATTATCCTTTAATCTTTCTTTCATTTGAAAAAAATACTTTATTTGTTACAATTGAATAGTTATTATTTACATTAAAAAAAATTTTATTGTACACGGTCTCTTTGTAATTCATGGTCAATTGCTTAAGTACTCGGTAAATCATTATTATTTATATTTTTACTAAAATACTTTTTCAAGTTCAACCACACATGGAAAATCTCTATCCTTTTTATCGAGGATATATATTTCAGATTGATATTTTTCACTAAAATATTATTTATCTAAAAACTTTGAGATCGGAAGCATAATTTCAGTCTTGAATCGTACTTTAAAATAAAGTTAGCAAGAAATTAGAATACGGTGATGAATGAAGATTGAGACGGTCTAACTATTTGTAAATCTATACTAATAATAAAATCATCAGAAATATTTTTATGATCAACATGGTATATTTTAATCTCTATGAAATAATTCATGGTGATTGGTGTACAAGTTCTATTTATATAGATGTATTTAATTTTTTACTCAAATATTTTAATTTCTAAATTTAAAATTTTAAAACAAAAAAGGATTTTCGCCACAATTCCCAAATAAAGAATCCTCAAATCTGTCTCGCTCCTCCAAAATTTGAAAATTAAGTGAGATCAAAGATTAAAATTTTTCAGGTAAGATAAAGTGAACTACCATAGATTAGCGTAATAGTTATTAAGGAGGCAAGGGAGAAAAGTAGGACTTTGATGAAACTAGTTCAAACTTCAAAGTATTCATAGACTAAAATGAAGTACACGTAAATTGGGCCAAACATTCGCCCATAATAAAACCGAAAAAGATAAACATGTCAATATCTAGCACCATCTATGGGTTGTTGAGGTCACTCTTTTAAAAATATGTTTTTCTTTTTAAGATTTGAAAAATGGCAAATGAAAATGATGGAACTTGAACTAATGGAATGATTCCATGAAATGAGAATCTAATTTTAATATATTAGGGTGATTAGTGATGTAGATGAATGAAATTTGTACTTTAAATAAAGCACATGGGGGAGTTTCTAGATAAGTTTAGTTTTATTTTATTTTGTTATATATATATTTTTAAGTTCAACGGAAATTCAAACCTCTAACTTTTTTGTTAAGGATATATGTTCTAACATATACTTAGATTGACGAGCCACTCATGAGTTAAAATTGAAGACTCAAAAGAATTTAAGATCATTTCATGTTTTATGTATATTACAACTAATGAATCTTAATTTTTTTTGAAGATAGATATATTAACTAGCTAGATTTTAATTTGGCTAACGAAAGTTTGAGATTGGTCAAAAATAAGTGTGGAACTTAAAAGTGTAGCTAGTAGCATATTCATCATTTACAAGGTTACATACCTAAAGTGGTCAAACATGAACATTATTACATCCCCTTAAGAGTTGTCATTTTGAATTTCTTCCACCTCTTCTATAATATAATATGTAAAAAATAATAATAAATTATATTTACAAGTCGAAATGGAGACGAGCTTATTATTTTATTAAAATTTGGTTAAAAAACATATTTGGTCCCTATACTTTCACTCAAGTAATAATTTAGTCCCTGATTTTTAGTTTATAACGATTTAGTCCCTATACTTTCGCTAAAGTAACAATTTAGTCTTTGAATTTTATCTTGTAACGATTTAGTCCCTGTCATTTAAAATTTGTAATAATTTAGTCCCTATTGTAAAAAAAATTTATTAAAATTAAGTGTCAAATTTTATCGTATAACAATTTAATCTTTGTAATTATAAATATATTTGGTCCCTCTTTAATTTGTCAATCTATATATATAAAAGAAATTTAACAAAAAAAATTTACGATAAAACTAAATTGTTACCAACTGTAAATTACAATAACTAAATTGTTATATATTAAAGTACTAAATTGTTACTTTAGCTAAAGTATAGAGACTAAAAGTGAGTTTTAACCTTAAAATTTCTATAGGATGTTTAGATGTAGTTGAAATCTGTAAAACATAGTTCCAAGATGAGCGAAGCTATCAAATTTTGAAATTGGCTTAGTTTTCCACTTTTTGGAAATATATTAGCAAGATGACTTTATAAAGAAAATTAATAACAACAATAAACCAAATAAAAAGTCTTTGAGTTGTCAAAGTAAACATAACTCAACGATAATTGACATATATCTAAAATCAAGAGGTTGTGAGTTCGATCCCTGCCTCTACATGTTGTACTAAAAAAAGACTTTGAATTTGTAACATTTTATTACGTTGATAGTAAACCAAAAGTAAATAGCCAATACCAGAAAAAATTCAAGAAATAATAATGGTTTGAGGTTGAAACAAATGTGAGATCCTAAAACATGTGTCTCACATTCCTATTATATTTGGTAATCACCAATCAGCCATATATGAAGCCATTGATCCTTTTCCTCAGCTCAACTGGGTTGGCTCCAACAAGTTTGAAGTTTGGGGCTCCATCCTTCATCAATACAAATGTGGGCATGGCCTTTATTTCCAACTTGGATGCAACATCCTGTTCATCATATGATCAAAGAAATTTATATCATAACAAACCGAAAAATCCAAACTTATGTTGTTTGATAACCGTGCCTATTTGGTAGCCTAGTTTATACTCATATCGACTAATTATCTCGTGGACAAGTATTAACCCTACAACATTTGGGATCAATGAAACTTCGGTTCTGTTCGAAACTTCCATGTTTCCCATTTGTTGTTTCTCATTTTTAAGTTTTTAATATAGGCCTTATTTGATCATACAAATTTGATTTCTTGTTTCTAAAGTTCTAAAATGTTCGTGTGATTGTTATTTCTTTTCATTTGAAGAAAATATAAGCAAATAACAAATAGTAAGAATAAGAAACGAAAATGTCACCGAACAGACAATCACAACTCCTAAGGTGACCTATCTCAAGAGCTCCCATTGATCTAAAATTGTGTTACCTACTTGGATTATTTCCATCACACATAATCTATAGCTAAGTTTATGATTATAAGATCAAAGTTACATTATAGACACAAACCAGAAAAGATCACAAGCAAAACAGAAACATCAGTCAAATGAAATCAAGATTACCTTAGTTTCATCCACATCCACAGACAGAAACACAACACCTTTGTACTCCAAGGCCAGCTCTTCAAAGAAGTGGCTCATGGCTCTTGAGGGTGTGCACCAGCTAGCACTAAAATGCACTGCAACCTGCAAACTTCCCAAGTCATCTTTTTCTCCTTTCAAGTTCTCTCTAGTCTCTCCATATAACAGGAAAAAAAAAAACAAAACAAAACAAGGATGGGGACTTGAACTTGGGGAGGTAAGTACTGCCTTGACCAATTAAGCCAGGACGATCAGGTCGGCTTCCCAAATGACTATTTCAGTCTTTCTACTTTGGATTGCATTTCATTTCCATACTACATAACATTGAACTGAGCATTATGAGAGAGAGTAAAGAGGGGACTTACAGGGAAACCTTGTTTGAAAGCTTTGGCAACATAATAATCCCAAGATCCCTCTGATCCAACTTTGATTACCCTTGACTTCTTCACAACCTTTTTGTGTCCTTCCATGTCTTCTTCTTTCTTCTTTCTTTGTTTCTTGAATTCAGAAGGAAATATAATTTATAGAGCACGAAGATAAGCTACAAAACTGTGGGTGCCTTTACTGCTAGTAATTTTCTGGTCTTTCAGCTATTAAAACTTGACTGGATGTGAAGAAGTTTGAAAATAATCTGTAACTTCAGGGACCCCACAGAGAGGAAGGGACCAATGCTTATCCACTTCCATGGTCATCATGATAATCATCAACCTTCTCTAATGTCTTTACTTTTGTTTTTGTCTTCTCGTGATTTGGACCAGAAAAGAAGGAAGCTACAAAGAGAGAAATGTTTGATCAGTTTAAACTACTCGGGGTCATCCATGTTCACCTTCTCATAAATTACTTGTTTTCCCACAACAACTAATGCTGTCCATCCTTCAAAAATTACGAATCAATAATTTCAAAACTAGCTTCAACCTTAACAAGTCAGCAGGAGCACGTCAAACTAGTATATCCTTTGAGTAGAACTATATCGCAAACTAAACTATCAAACAACACCACTTTCCATGAACAACCAAAAAAACAGCATGCATTTTGAGTTTTGGCATGAGGGCATCTCTTCAGAGAAAAAAGGGAAAAAAAAAACACTTCAAACCCACAATAGAATCTGAACTAAAGAAAAAAACCATCAAAGTTAGACCCAAGAGACAGAATCTGAAACTGAAAGGGGTGACATTTCAATAGCAGCAGTTAAAATTCATTGAGTGATTTCATCAAACACCTGACAGGCGAGAAGGGGCTTCTGGGGCCTAAAAAATGGCAAGTTTCGCCAAGCTTTGGCATGCTTCAAATGGCGGTGGTGTTGTGTGATCTAAGCGCGCCATCTGATGTGGAGAAACAAAAATGACAAGTGGAAGAGAGCTGGAGAGAAGCGATGAGTCCAAAAGGAAAGGCATCTGGAAATTTTTGGAGGGTTGAGGGTGGCGGAAAATCGACAAAGAGAGATTTGCCGAAAGTATTGTTGCATTGGCATTTGTGCCATTGTTTTCTCGGAAACCGCTTTTGGAATTTGTCTCAATCTCAACTCAAGGTTTTAAACGGGGATGTATATTTCAGAAAATTTGGCAGAATTGGAGTTTTGTAGGGTTTTTTTTGGTTTTTCAAACGCCTTTTTTAAAACATAAGTTTTCAAGGATGGACGTGTGAAATTATGTATTTATCCTTCCTCAATTTTTCATTTTTATTTCTTTCTTCACCTTTCTCCCTCTTTTATTATTATTTCTCTTTTCCATTATTCGACTTCTTCTCTCTATCATTTTTTCTTGTGCCCCCTCTTTTTCCATGATTTACGATGAATTCATCAAAGTCGTCAAGGGAGGTCGTTCGTCGAAGAAAAAAACTTGGGGGCTTTTAATTAAAAATTTGAAAATTGAAATGGAAAGAAACTAAATCTCAATCTCTCATCCCTTAACGGTAGTAATTGGTGTTCAAATTTGAAATTTAATTCAAATTTCAAATAAATTTGGGGCGGGTATTGAGGAAGATGAAATTCCAAATATATATATTTGCAACAAATATATAAGTTTTGAAGCTTTCAAGAGGGCGCTTAAAAAACAAAAATTTTTACTTTTGAAATTTGAATTTAGTTTCTAGTTAGAACTTAGATTTTATTTTAGTTTCTAAAAATAATTTTTTTTAGTACACTATGTGAGGTGGAGGATTGAACTCATAACTTTTTACTTTTGAAATATAGATCAATTACCTTTAAGAAATAGTTTTAAATGGTCAATAATCTCATTTGACACGAGTGGAAAAATAGTAAAATTTGGTAAAAAATATTAGCTTAATAATTTTTTTATCTTCTTCTCTCCATCTCTCTTCTCCCTGGTCCTATGTTCCCTCTTTCTTTCGACAGCGGTTACAACAAAAGTATGATCGGCCATTTAATCATTTTTCCATTAGTCAATTAATAATAATTTAGAACTACTTCTCAAAACTCGAAATTAAAAGTGTTTCTTTTAAATCTCATGGACCGAATAGACACAAAATTTGGAATTCAATGATCAAAAGTGTATTTTATCTTAAAATATATATATGGTACGAAATTTATAAGATTTAGACAAAAATTACATTGGAAAGGATATATTTGTTGAAAATTTTAGGTTTTTGCAGAGTTATTTAATGGTCGATTTGTATATTAATCAAACTTAATTTTGTGCAATTTTCATTCAATTAGCAAGTTTTTTTTTTTAAGTTTTTTACATTACTTTTTTCTTTAATTAGTGGGTCAGCGAAAATTGAATATTGAATAGATAGTCAATTTTACAACACTTATCTAAGTTTAGGATTCAATTGGATGAAATTAAAAATTTAGGGAAAAATTGATACAATTGTCACGATAAAAAATATCTTCTTTCTCATCTTTTTCAATTCAATAGTTGGAGAGTGAGAATCGACACTCCACTTTTGAGACAACAATAAATGTCTTGTCCAATCAATTTAAATTTTATATTAAGATTAATTAAGTTTATATTTAAGCAAGATGAACGTATTTAATATAAAAAGAAAATGGAAACTTATACTAAATAGTTTCTTTCAAATATCATATCCCTATTTCGTTTCTCAATTTCAACATTATTAAATAATTATTATTTAATAGTAAGATTTCTTAATACAATAGGGTAGAGATTTGAACTCACAACTTTTTAATCTAAAATAAGTGAATTACCATGAATAAAAATAATAATTAAAAAATTGAAAACGACAAATCATATACTTTTATCTGCCTTGTTTTAATTATATTGTTTTTTCCTTAAAATGAATATCTTAACAAATAATAATAATTTCATGATATATATAGGTAATGTGACAAAAGAAAACGAAGGGATATAGTTTCAACATTTAAAAACAAAACAAAATAAATTTGTCATTCCTCAAAAAGTTCCAAAGCCTCTATCTCTATATATCAAAGCAAGCTCATCCAAATTTTTTGTTGTTAATAACATGCATGAAATAAGAAAATATATTGTCTTTTTTTTTTCTAGTTTGACGAGATGTGACGTGAGATTCGAGTTTCTTATCTTTTTATCGATAATATATATTCTAGCCTGTATTTGGACAAAATATTTTTTTATTCGTGAAGATTTTAGGACAATATTTTATTGTGACCCACAATTTATCTAAGTACTTGTTTCTTAAAATAATAACCATTGCAAAAAAAAAAGTGCGAATACTATTAATCAAAGATGCAGAGTGAAAAGGTTATTTAAAAAAAAATTATGTTATAAACTTCATTTCTAATTTCTGTTTAAATTTAGTAAATAATGTTATAAATTTGGGACTTTAGACTATTACTTTGCTTGTAAATAAAACCTTGATTAAGATAATTTTATTAATAACTTATTGATGTATATTATATTTTATATTATAGTTGCAATTATTTTTTTAACACTATTTGTGTAATATATTTTATAGATAACCTTTTTTCTTTAAAAATATAGTCACGAGAAAGTGTTTTTAATGGATCAAATAATACATGATATTTCATAAATGTCCATTATTTTAATTATTTACAGATCTGGATTTCGAGATTTTGAATTTTTTATCGTAAATCACATTCTTACGGAAAAAAAAAGTCACTTAAACACCGTTCACATTATAAATCCAAGGCCCAATTGTACGCTTGAGCCCATTGCACAGCCCAATTCGGCCCAGTCTTTAAGGGCTAGAAATTTCTTTTTCTTTTTTTTTTCATTCCTTTTTTTTCTCATAATTAAGGAAGATATTACTCCCTCCTTGGTATTAAATTTTTGTGAACATTTTTATATGTCTATGAGTTCGAGTGCGTGAATTATATTTATATATATATATATATATATTTTTTTTTTGGAAACAGTGAATTATATTTCTATAATATCGCATAAATATCAACAAAAATATGATTAATATAGACCTGTTATTAATATTATTAATTTTTTTACTTATTTTAAGAATGTGTAATGTTTATTTGATAATTTAAATATTTGTTAGGGGATGATTTCCATGTTTGTCCCATAATGCAAAGTCGATGATAATGCTCATATAAAGATAAACAACTTACATACTAAAAATAGTTTCAGATTTTATAATCTTATTATTATTATTAACATTATGAGATAAATCTTATTAAATTAAATTTTACTGAGAAAATTACCAAAATAACCTCAATGAGGATATCCATTGAGTGGATAGTGGAGGAGCGACGAAGGAAACGGATAACTGAATTAAAAGCTCTGCCTTCTCTGTGTTCCCAATTTCCTCCATTTCTCTTCCTCTCTTTTCCATTCAATGGCTCGTCTCGCAAATTTAAACGGCGTCTCAGACAAATTCTCCGCCATTCCCAAGCTTCCAAAGCTTCAAAACCCTCGGAAGAGACTCAAAATAATTGGGTTTCTCGGGAAACAAACAGAGGTTTCTTCTCATCACAGCTCATTCACAAGAAGATTGGCTTTAACCAGCATCGTCTCTGTTGCTCTGTTTGGCAACGCATCCGTCGAGATCGCTTCCGCTAACGAGTACTGGCTCGATGGCCCTTTGCCTGTGCCGTCTGTTTACAACAGTAAGCTAGCTTTCTGATTGAAGAGTTTTGAAGCTTTCTGTTTCTGAGCTTGTTTCTTTATCCGGGTGCAACTCGAAATCGAAAAAAATCGAGGACTGACTCGAATGAATTTCTTGTTACAGACATTGCGAATGAGAAGACGGGGACCCGATCGTTTCTGAAGACGGGGATTTACATAGCCAACATAGGGACAGAAGGAAGAAAATATAGACTAAAGAGATATGCCTTTGATCTTCTGGCTATGGCGGATTTGATCGGGAAAGATACTTTGAACTATGTAAGGAAGTATCTTCGACTGAAATCGACTTTCATGTACTACGATTTCGACAATGTCATCTCGGCAGCTGCAGATGGTGAGAAGCAGCCTCTAACCGAGCTTGCGAACAGATTGTTCGACAACTTCGAAAAGGTAAAAAGACGAGAAAGTTTACAAATTTCTGCAAGTAGTCTGCAGATTTTCAAGCTGAAGTAGCTTGTTTTGTGTTTTGCAGCTTGAAGATGCAGCAAAACAGAAGAATCTGAGTGAAACTGAATCCTATTATCAGCAGACAACTCCTATACTTCAAGAAGTCATGGATAGAATGGCTTAAGTTGAGAAACTTTATTGAGAAGATTATAAGATCTACTTGCTTTTCCACCATTCTTTTCCTATTCTGTTGTACATGTTCATAATTTGTTTCGATTTTGTACTAAATACGGCGAGAAGATGCAAAACCAATTGCCAGCATTGTCGAGACGATATCAATCTTGTTGCAGGATGCTTGGTATCAATTAGAGAGATTTGATCATCAAAAAGTGGGAAAAAAATATCTTACTTTCATTAATACAATCAGATCTCTTTTGCTATACAACTAAGCCTAAGTCAGAATCATTCTGATGTTTCATCATTGAATAGTGGATTCGCGGATATAAAGACAGCTCGAGCATAAATCTCAAGGTCGTGTATTGGTTAGACGTCGCGGAGTACCAATCTCGCAAGCATTGACCCGGGCAGCAAACCGAAGCGAGCAGAGTGACTCATTGGCTGAGGAGGGGTCGGGAGAGATATTTACAAACATCAACGTCTTCGAATCTCCACCGAGGCACGGCTGGTTAACCATCCATATTATTAAGTTAGAACGATTAAAGGGAAGAAAAAAAAATTTATGGTAATCTTTGAACAAGTACCTGAAGAAGATAGGTAAGTTTGGAGTTTCTAAAGGGAACATGCTCTTCCTTCTTTGCCAAAGCAAATATAACATCACTTAAAGATGATAAACTTCTGTTTATGGCCTGATTGTAATAAAGAAAAATAAAGGATTATGAACAGAACTTTGCATGATGAAACAAATTTAAACAAAAATATGATAGAAGTGATCAATTACTTGGGTTTCCTTTAGTCGGTCTCCCGTAGACCCGCTCTTAGAAAGACGCTCGCTTCCAGCAAGATCGATTAAATTCAAAATGCCTTGTACTTGTTGATCAGTGCTCTAGCATGATGCAAAATCATAAGAAGTGAGTCTATGGAAACATGGCAGGACAGAGGAACCAGAATATTTTCAAAATATAAATGGTGTTACCTCATTGATACCAGATATTTTTAGAGTGAACACAAAATGACTTCTTGATGATTGCTCATTCATTTGGGTTTTGCCAACAGATCTAAGGAAAAAAATAAAGAAATGCATTTAAGAGGAAAATCTATCAAGAAAACACGAAATTTTCGTGTGGACATAATGATGAAGATGAACGGTAAGCAACAGGAATCGTAACTAATGTCCTAACTGAAAAGCATATAGCTACGTCAAATCATCGATATATAAATGCAAACTATGCAGTCACTGATACCTGCTCCGAGAAGCTTGCTCTAATAGGAACGAGACCTCCCTGGCACTACGGACATCCACGACTGTAAGATCAGAAACTTGTGTGTTTCCACTCGCATCGTGTTTGATTGAGTATGGCTTTAAAGGAGAACCATTCTCTGGTCGTTGCACATCTGGAGCTGATCGATTTGTTGCTAGTAAATCACGGATCGTTTCATTATATATTTCCAACATCGATACCTAGAAAATGTTTAGTATAAAATGCCTGAGAACATGACGACGGAAAAAAGATTAACAGATGGTAAAATCTAAAAACTGTTCTTTCTCTCTCACCTGCATTTCATATTTCCAACCCTGAGGTTGAAGAGATTGTCTAGTTTGAAATATTTGTTCCAACGAACGAGGTATCAGACCTTTCTCCTCTAGGAGCCCTGGTCTGCCCATCATTGTATACGTCTTGCCAGAACCAGTTTGACCATACGCAAATATGCAAACCTGAAATGAAATAGCGTTAACTAATAAACTTGAAACAGTCTCTAATGAAGTAACTTGATTGTCCCACCTCGAATACAATAAAATCTTGGTTAAAAATACTTACGGTACCTGGACTTTATAACAATTGGTTGGTCCCTATAGTTTAAAATTTGTAAAAATTTAATTGCTATGGAATATGTTGTTAAGGTTTAACTAGGTTTATTACCTACCTAGATCGATAAATCAACCAAATGTGTTTATAAACAAACTATGGAGACTAAATTGTTACATAATAAAAACCGATACTTTTATCTTGACTGATTTTTTTTCATTAGGGACTGAATTGTCACATACTATAGTTCACGGACTAAATCGTAACAAAATTAAACTTACAGGATAGCAACAATAGTACCGGACCAAAGTTTTTTAACTTAAAATCTTTTAACAGTGGAGAATACATATTTACATGTGTACGAGTGAGCAGATGCATTAACTGTTTTCATAGACTATTCAAGTTCAATCTTTTTGTCAGAATTGGGTAACTATCGCTCTGTTTCTACAAGAAAAACGGCAAAATATATGAATAAATACCGCGGTGCCATGTATTACCTTATAGCCATCAAGGGCACTTTGGACAAGCTGGGAAATTTCTACAAAGACGTCTTCTTGTGATGCTTCTGGTGTGAAAACCTTGTCGTACGTGAAAGAATGTCGTTGCCCTGACAATATATGAGCATGGTAGCAGTTGAATTTTCAATATCACTTTGAATAAAGAGAGCTGGAGGGCAATGTATCATATGGAAGAAATTTGGTAGGCTTGAATATTATCCATAACAAGCATACCATTTTGCACCAGATCGATTCCTCGTCCAAGCGATTCCACTGATGAGGGATAGGAGATAAAATTTCCTTCGGCACTGGAACGTTCATCGGGTAACAGAGGCCGAACTCTACAAAATACACGAATGTTCCCTTTTAATTCCTGTATTACAAAAGGCCCAGTGAGTAACAACACCACAGCAATTAATATAATGCATATGCAATAAGGGAATTACCAAGATGGTATTGTGCAATTTTTTCCTAAGCATCTCTCCTTCCATAAGCTTATTTTCCACATCTGCGAGTCGGTCTAGCAACTCACGTACGAGCCTCTTTTGATCTTCGAATTCACTCAACGTCTCCATTGCAGTCAGATCAGAGACCTAGCATAAGAAAATCACGTGAAATACAATATTTTTTTAGTGAAATCACTATTTTTGTGTTGCTAGAGCTGTTCATCGTAACCTGTATCTTGTTTTCGGCCACAGCTAGATGATTTTGCAACGTCTTTAGCTCAATACTTTGTGAAGAGCATGTTGCCTGCAAAAGAACTCCAAAATTATCAAAGAGCTTCCGAGTCTATGACAAATTTAAAGATCTTCACAAATAAGGGGGAAAAATCACAAGCTCACATATAGGGAAAAAAAATGGGATCACGTAAGAACCTCTAATTCATTTGTTTTAGCCTTCATTTCATCCAGCTCCTCACAGTACTTCTCTGCATTGTCCCTGCACTTCTCTACTTCATCTGACAAAGTCTGCACCAGAGATAGTTGACGATCTCGATCGTCTCTAACTTGTTGTATTTCTCTTCTTAAACACGTGACTTCGTTCACCATAGCATCCTTCTGCTTTACCGCCTCGTCTTGAGAAGCCTATAATCATGATCCAAACAATGACGATTCACAACAGACCGATACACATTTGTAAAAATTTATGAAAGCTCTTAATGGAAAAGAAACTCACTCTAGACAGAGCAAGTTCGCCCTTGGTCATACTGAGGTCCTCCACCACAGCAGCTTTTTCTTTCTCTACTCGTTTGAGGTCATCCTCAGCAGTCGAAAGCTCTGTATGAAGTTTGCCATTATATTGCTGTAAACTGGTAATGTAATCCTGCAACCGCTTGTACATTTCATTAAGAGACGATATCTGCAGAATTGCCAGAAGCCATCGTCACAACATTTGTCATGTTCGGTACACCGATCAATAGCTATCAGTTCATTTTCTATTTTACCTTTTGATTCGCACTCGAGAGTTCACGTTGAGCCCTTGCAAGCTCCTCAGTGAGTGAAGCCTGTGACCTCTCCATAATCAATCGAGCTTCTTTCTCCTTTGCGAGAGATTCCACTGCAGCCTGACAATGATACTCAAATTCTAGATAACAAACCAAGTTCCAACTTATCGAATCATTCATACTCGACAGCACGATTCAAAGCTTACCAATTTATCTGATTCTTCTTTTGTGAATTTCTCTTGAAAAAAACCATTGTTCTTTCTGAGTTCCACAATGATGGAATTCAATTCCTCCTCTCTCTTCTTCACAATCATCTCTATCAACAGAAAAACAGAAAGATCAAGAAAAATGGGCTGATAAAATCATAACCCGAGAAGAACACGAGATCCTGAAGATACCCATTTCACTGCACTTGACCTCCGAGGATTCCAACTCATCTTGTAACTTCTTCTGCTCAAGCAAATAGCCATACTCAAGCTCTTGGAACCATTTGATGCAGAGTTTAAGCCTTTTAATGTATTCCACCATGTTATCACATTTTTCCTGAAAGACAAACCAAAAGGGTCTCACCAAAAAATTTCCTCAGATTACAATGACCATTTTAACTGATCTAACACTTCCACTATCTGATAATGTAAAGAAAAGAACAAAACAGAACACAAATGATCTCATCTCTGAATTACCTTAACTGCTGAAAAGGAGGGACTGACCTTTAGATTAAACCTGTCCTTCCTTTTAAGCTTCTCATTCAACAGAGCCTCAACGTCTTCTTTAGTGAACTCAATGCCACCGCAGTCGGAGCCCGCAAAACTGGTCGGAGTACTGGTCAGACAGAGCTCTTGTCCGCCATTAACGACCGAGAAGGACAAACGGGCTCTTCCATTAGTTGCCGCTCCCACCATTATGGCCCTCAAATCACTCACCGCCCCCACCTAAAACCCCCTGTTCATCACCGATATGTTCGTTTCAGGGCAGCTAACAGGGAGCTGATGGATCATAATCCAAACCCAGAAGAGGGGAAAACAAGAAAACAAGAAAAAACAAAAAATCTAGGGAAATGGGGGGAAATTTCGGGAAACCCAGAAGAGGAATTGCTCAAATCTTAACAAGGGTAGGACTGAATCTAAGAAATGGGCGAGGGAATGAAGCCAAAAGAAGCTGAAAAACAATATAATATTTGAAGGAGAAAGCAGAGAGGCAAAAAAGAGTTTTAAGTGTGTGGGTGTGGGGCCATGGATTGCATTTAAAGCTAACGATTATGTATATGTACTGCAGCCGCTTGCTTGAACCAGCAGGAAAGATTGATGAGCTCCTAAAATGGGGTTGTGGGGAGTAAAGATTTATGATGTATAATGGCGAAAACTGAAGAAACTTATCTGATTTTGGTGCCTCTGGTGCAAAATGATGGGAAATTTTGTGGGGTTTTGTTGGTAGAGGAGACGAGAGAGCACAGGATTCCTGGATTTGTATTGTTTTTTACTGTTACCGATGGAGAAGGTGGTGTGTGAAGTGAAATTTTTGAAATGGGGTTTTTTTTTTCCTTTCAGAATCTGATGGGAAGCATGTGACTTGTTCTTCACAGGAAGAAGATCATGGCGCCACGTTTGGTTGGTCCTTCATTCTCTCGCCGCTACCATAAATCCATTTCAACAGATCTCAAAATATAAATAACAAAATGAAACTTTTTTGGATAAACATTTTTGCTAAATATATAATTTTGTTCTCTTGACTCTTTCCCACGTTTTCTCGATTTATTCTCTAATATTTTAAAGGTTTCAACTTTTTTTAATTAAATAAAGGATGAGTTTCTTGCACCTTTTTTTTAAACTATGCTTGCTTGTGTCATCTCAAAGGTTTCAACTTTGTTTGATCGAAAATATCAACTCTGCAAAGCTCGGTTCGGACTGAGAACTGCTTGAAAGATGAGCTAGACGAGTGACCTTCAAAACATAACACACTCCGATGTTAAAGTCAATAGCTGGCCGAACTAAACTCGAGAGAGAATTTAGTATTCGTGTAGTGAAAAATTGAGTGAATGAATCTATTTATAGGCAACTTCCCTGACAATATTCTTGACAGTGTCTTAACGACTATTTAAGATTACCGTGAATCCCGGTGTATTGTCGTGGAGTTTGTCGGAATCTGGAACTGAGCCGAAGTGAAGCAGGTCAATTCATTTGAATAGGTAGAAACAAACCTATATGACGCTTGGTCACCTTAGTCACACAAGACGTCGGTTCAGTCGTATAAAACGGAACCGAGGTAATGAAACTTCAAGTTTATGGAGAAAGGCTACGTGTACTTCTCATCACCTAATCGACGTGTGCCACGTGTACGAGGGAATGACTTCCAACAAACTTTATCTTTCAAATGTATTGAATATTTTGTTAAATCAAATATTAGAAGTTACAAAATGTTAATGTTCATGGAAAATTTTTTTGTGCTTCAAGTATTTACTCCTTAGGTTTGTCCTATAAATTTTTCTAAATCATATTAAAAAAATGAATGAGAGCAGTATACAGTACGGTAATACTGAAATTATTTTTATTTTCAAAGTTGACTGACAGAATAATTATATTGCATTAAAAAGACATTTTACAATAAAAATATATAAAATTTATCCTTGAAATCAACAATGTGAGATAGTTTTTACCTTAAGTTAAAAACGACAAATTTGACATTTAAATTGGGAGTCAAGTATTAGCCCAAGTGTGAAACTAAAAATATAAGGTTTAAAATGTTATTTTGGTCGTGTGCATTTAGGGTTGATTTTAGTTTTTTATTTTAAATATTTGTTCATTTTAGTCTTTATACTCTTTAATACGTTTGTTTTAGTCTTTATACTTTTAAAAAATGATCCATTAGGTCTATATTTGCCAAATTTAGATATAATAATGAAATCGTTTAATGTAAATTTATGGCGATATTTCAAAAAATTTAGCGAGTGTATTGTCGTGTTAAAATCATGATTAAAAGAACATAAGATAAACATTGTCATTTTTAAGAGTACATATACCAAAAAAGACGTTTTGAAAGTACACATAGACCAAAAAAAACGTCGCATATATTTGTTTTTGTTTACGCCATGTACATCTTCCTCATTCAAGCTTGGACGTAATAGCATAAAAAACACAAATATTAGTATAATAGCATAAATATATTCTTTGTTATTAATATGTTTGTTCGCAGCAATTGTGACACAACACAATCAAACTCATACGTACACAATGTTGAATTAAATATCCTCAAAATGTTAATCTGTATCATCCACAAATCTCAATGATGAAAAGTATAATAATCAAAATGAACGAAAATTGAAAACACGAGACTAAAACTAATATTGAAACTCTTTTTTTTTTTTTTGGGTCCATTGAAGGAAAAAGGGTGTTGGTGCTCCAATTTATGTGGGAGGGTATTTAGATTTATAATTTTGATTGGTTGGTTAATAATATAAGGTGGTAGTCATTATATTATAATGAATAAATGAGAAAGTAAAGAGGGGGTTGCCAACTGAAAAGACAATGCCACCTGAAAAAAACCAACCAAAATTACTAAAATAATAATAATATATGAAGACAAAACATGTCCATCCCTATTCCAAACTCACCTAATTAATAAAAATAAATGAATTAAATTTTAAGAAAATTACAATTATGGTAACAGAAAAGCCTGCCACTAGGGACTTTAATCATCATATCATCACATTAATCTTTGTCATTAATTACTTTTGGGTTTGTTTTGCGTGGGTTGGAGGCCAAGAATTTTCACTTTTATTTTCCGGGAAAATTCTTTTATTTTCTTTTTTTTTCCTCCCTATTCCTTCTTCTTTTATGGTGTGTGAGGTGCAAGTGGTTGTTGGTATCTCAATTCATTTTTTGGTGTCTCTTCTTGCCTGTCTTTTCGTATCCTTTTTGGGGGTTTCTTCCTTACCTCATAACCCCTCTCTCTCGAAAAAGAATATTAGGAGGTCACCTAGTCGAAGATTGCTCCAGATCAAGCCCACTTAACTTTGAAGTTCTTACGATTGAGTTACCGAAAAGAAAGGTGTACCTTATTAGTATAAGTAGTAACTGTCAGTTTTTTAAGCTTTCTTAACCATACTTCTATGGTCTCAAGATCCATCTCATTCGGATATGGTATCGATTTATTCATGTATCCATCTTCTCTAGTCGGGCATCCACTTAACTAATTGATCAACTATGTCGGCTGAATTGATCGAACCAACCAAATCGATCAAAATTGATTGAAATTTTTATTTTTTATTCTTTATGTTTGTTTGGATTGTGACTTGTATCCTCTTTTAAAACATCAACTAACCTTCTCTCACCAAATAGAACAAGGACAAGGACGGATTCGTTGTGTCCATTTCTTTGATGTTAATGGATGGCCCTTTTTTTCTATACCACAACCAAAACCTTTTTTTTTAATTAATTGTCGGTGCTTAGTAATTTAATCCACTATTTTCCCACCTAATCAACAACAAGTTTGATCAAATCTTGTAGTTAGTTTGTATTGTTATGAAATAATAAGAATAATTTGTAAATAATTTGAATTTATTATAGTTTTATATATGAATAGTGCATAAATTATATCTAATTTCATTCAAACGACTAACATTAATATTGAATCCAACACTCTCGTAATAGCAATGGTGCATCCCACGAGCTACCATATCACGGTAATAGGAGATGTATGCTATATATGCGAAGGAAGCTTTTATTGAGATTCCCTTGTTCTCGAGAGTTTGTCGCATATTTAATAGATTGTTGGGTTTGTGTTTTATATATGTTCCCGACAAGAGAAGAAGAAGAAAAATAACATAAACCCTAAAATTAGTCTCGCTCTATTAATCTACGTAGCATCAATCAAATTATAGTCTTAAAAAGGTTAATGTTGACACTCTCAACAAAATACATGAGTTTCGAAAGCTGTTAATAATACAGATTTGAAATGACGACGCAGATGGAAATATCAATATCGATGGATATTTTTGAAAATTTATAAAAGTAAAAAGTTGATAATAAATATTTAAAATAACAAATAAGGATTCCATTCTTTTTAAACAAGTTAAAATTTATTAATATTAATATTATGTTGTTCATATTAGTAATATTTTGTCGATGTTTTTTTTGTATTTTGTCAAATTTTTCGATACTATATAAATGTTAGATTCGTCATTATGTTCATTTCAAACTCATAGGCATATGAAAATATCGACATGTCGGAGAGAATTTAATATACCGTGCTAATACTTCAAAATAAATTTAATCTAAAGATTTTTTTGAGAGCATAAAAATAAAACCCCTAAAAAAGAATATAGTGAGATAATCAACAGATTAATGAAGTATGATTAGATTAATTATTATTTGGCATATTGATGACTAGACATAGACATTAAGATGGAGTTAATTAATTTATGGGTTGACCTAATTTGCTGTTGTTCCAAGCATGGCAGATTAGAGGTCTCAAATAAATGTCTTTTTTTAGGGCTTTTTCATAAAATAGGGTTTGGTGTGTGAATTTAAAGATTTATAATTAATTATTTTTGTTTGTTATGTACAATGAATGAATGACAAGCTAAACCAACCACTAAGGGAAAAAGAAGAAACTTTGGACTATAAATATGCACATTCATATATTTGTTATTATTGGCATCCACTTTCATTAAATGGTTGCATTTTGTACTCATGACTATATATGGTTGGAAAAACTATGGTGTTCATCCATGAAAAGAAATTCAAATTTGGCGAAATAGGTTCTACCGAAAAACCATAGATTTTTGAGTTTTTGTTATTGGTTACTGATCGAGCCACTAGAATAGAACTGTTGCGTTCCATGTGACTTGAACCCAATACCTCAAAGATATTCTTTTGAGGCCCGAAGCTACCCAAACTAATCGTTTGGAGACTGGAGTGGTGTTTAATATGTCATTAAAAGCTTATTTTTAGATTCTAAAAAAAATGTTTAATAGGTTCGTGAACTTTTAATTTTGCGTGTGTCTCATTGATTATTGAAATGCGAGTGTCCTATTAGATATTTTTAAAGCTTAGAGACAAAATTTATAATTTAACCTTATTTTTTTTATTAACATGACGAGTGGGGTAACGTTGCGAGTGACTTTTTTTTTCCTAGCTAAATGTTAAAATTCTAGAATTAAATAATGATTTAATTTGATATTAAAAATGTTTTTAGTACAACGGTTGGGACAAGGATTCAAACTCACAACTTCTTGGTTGGAGATATATGTCAATTATCGTTGAACTATGCTCGTTTTGGTGTTTAAAATATAATTTATTAGTTAGATTAGAATCATTTCGTGAATTTGGGTAAAAATTTTACACATGAAATTAAAAAATTATATGTTTAGATAAAGAAGGAAAAAGGTGGCCACGACGGCAAATATGAAAGAGAGAAAGGGAGATGCCAAGACTCCAAACAATTACAAGGTCGGCAGGTATTTTCTCTTCTTTTTTATTTTTATTTTTTGCTGTAAATAAATTTTATAAAATAATTATAAACATTCCATCATCCGAAAAGGAAATTAGAAAAAAAAAAAGAAAAAGATTTAAAACATTGTCAATGATATATATCTCTTAGAATGTCAATTACTGACRAGTCATATATTTGATTAACTTACATTTTTATCAATAAATTATTGACTAAATCATTTTTATTATAAATAAAACTGTCCACATCAACCATTTTATATTAACTTTAAGATTTAATTTGCCATGATTTATTAAGTCAATTGATATTTAAATAATTACTTATTGATTGGTATTAAGCTCTTTTTTTTAAAAAAAAGTCTTATCATTTGTTTTATTTTGTGAGTATTACAGAATATAAGTTACTTTTGAAAAGAAACTAGCATCATTTTCTCAATTAAAAAAAAAACTAAACACATCGGTGAAGAACAGAAGCTAACGAGAGCAAATTGATGCATGCTGGTACATGAATTTCTATCATTAKTAATTTCTTTCGATTGTCCAACTCAACTCACCATTGATACGAGAAATTAGAAAAATTGTGAATTAAATTTAGGACGGTATAAGAACTTATTTTTAAAATTGTATAATTATAATGATGCATRATCTACAAATTAATGCAATAGAAAACTTTGTATTACCACTTATGAATTTCATCCATTTGAAGATGTGCTACGAATGAAAAATGATATATTAGGAATAAAAGGAAAAAAAGAGGGTAAAAAGAGGTAATTATCGAAGGAAGAATGATCGATGGGTTATCGTTTTTATTGGGCCGAAGAAGATTGAGGCCCGAACCCTTTTACCAAGGCCCAATTCAACTTTTAGGAAAACGGAAATATTAAAAAGAAATGAAAAAAATGGAGATGCGGGGCATCGATCCCCGTACCTCTCGCATGCTAAGCGAGCGCTCTACCATCTGAGCTACATCCCCTTGTTGATATAATCTCCTTTATAAATACTATTGGTAAAAATACTATTTTATCATAATCTTGCTTAATGTTATGATTTTTTTTTTTTTTTTTTTTTTGTGTTTTGAAGTACAATAACAAGTGGGGTTGGATTCAAAACACGATATTTGGGTCGGAGATTCAATGCTTCAATGATGTCAATTTTTTTTTATATCTGTGAGTGTTCGGGCCAGTTGGAGTAATCTCACGAACATTTGTCCGACCCTACTATATTTGGTTGTCAAGAAAATACATAAGAAATTAATTTCTTGGTAGTTGTTAGATTTGAAATCATTCTCTCTAAATTATTTTGATCTCCATGATGTGAATTTGAGTATAACTAGTGAATAAGATATCTATTATTGAGAATTAAAACATTGGTTAGGACAATATGGATACAAAGAATCAATCGACATCTCATGTAAATATTCATGAAACATAAAAAATATCATCAATTAGTCACTCAATATAAATATAAATATTTAAATCTATAACTTATTTAAGGAGTGAAACTAACTTAATTATTTAAGTAAATTTTTTTTATTTAAAAGAATATTAGTCAATAATGAAATATTTGTAAAATTATAATCCTAACATCGACATCGATATTTCGATATCTAACTATATATTAGCATCTAAAAAGTCGATGGTTTGATCTCCACCTTCGCAATTATTTGATTAAAAAAAATCACATGTAGAGTGCGGTGGATATGCTACTTTTTTTTAGTTCAACCACATATGAACACAGAAATTTAAACATCTTAATATTTTGATCGATATATACCTTAAACAATTATTAGGCTTAAAGTTCGTTAATTGAAACATAAGGTCTTATTGGATATTTGACCCCATAGCAATGGAATAATTTATCCTAAACAACTTTAATCTTGCACCATAGAAATAAATGTTATAGACAACCATTGTGGCTTGTTTGGTGCTTATAGTAAATACATCTAAAGGTAGTCATTCCACAATAAATTTCGAAATTTATATATTTCGTTAACCCCTTGTCTCTTTCATTTATTGCTATAATTAATTGTTATATTCTTAGTTTATGGTGTTGGAGGTGATTTACAAATTGCCACGTGTCAGACATCGAAAAAGATGATTGAGAGAACTAAATAAGGAGATTTATGTGAAACAAGTTTAATCAGCTCGGTAATGTAAGCCAAGTCGAACTATATCTTGCCTATTGACCGACTTTAAAGAATATCCGCAGGAGCAAARGTGAAAGATATGTTCCCGTTCCCCGATAAGATACCATGATCCTAAGTGGTCGGAAGCTCTGTCGGGAACTCGTCTCTATAAATAGAGAACCCTGCTTCTCACGCAAGGTATGCGAAATAATATTTTCTCTCGAGTATTGATCGAATAAGTGTTCGAAGATTATTGGGATGTAGGGTAAATTTGAAATTATATACTTTTTTTTTTTAATTTCAAATCCTAACCTATCCAAGTTATTTTATTAACATGTGATAGGAAGGAAAGATTAAATCAACAGGAGAATCGGTGGTTGAAGTAGATGTACCTCAGACCTTTCCCAAAAGGCCGATTCGATCTATATCACCAACCTCAGCTGCTTGGGATCTAGTCGAGCCGAAGTCATAATCTTCATACCGAACGTCTGAGTTAACAGTTGTGTCGATCAGAGGACAATCCTTTAGGAAATGATATCCTACACACTCTACGACAACATGCCGCAATTCTTAGGCTGTCAGAGAGTTGTTGGAGGCTTATCGAATGCCCGGTTGGAAGCTTCGCCTATAAATAGAGACCTCTTGCCTAATTTTCAGGTATGTGAAATTATACTAGCTCTTGAGTATAAATCGACCAGCTACTAACTTTAGCGTTAAAGTACTCACTCTTTTTTTGCATGTCTCCTACTTGCCAGCACATCAATTCGTCTATCGGGTCAGCTATTGCTTGAGTTGAGCTTCAATGACTTGGTCAAAATCTCGATCAAACAGATTATAAACACAATAGAATGTCAAAAACCCATTTAATATAAAATTATGACTACATTTTAAAAAATATATTGTGTTTGATCACAAGAATGACCAAGCTGCGAACCTTGACTTGGAAAGTAGGCTAACCTAGCGGATGAGCTGGAATTTGTTGGAACTTGCTGGAGAGGAGACCCGTAAGACAGAGAACACTTTGACGCCCAAGTCAGGAAGAATCCAGGTTGTATTCAAGGAAAAATACAATGTTTGTGTTTATGGGATGGAGGCAAAATCTATCTATTTATAGGCAAGGTCTTCGACAATTTCCTCAACAGGACCTCAACGACTCTTTAAGGTAGCCGTGAATCACGGCGTTCTGTCGTGGAGTCTGTTAGAAGATAAGGGTGAGCCGAAGATCTCCTGATCAGTTGACCCGAGGAATGAGAGCAAAGTTCGAAGGAAATCCAGTCGACTCGGCCTAGTGGGCGTCAGGATGAAATTTGGTCTCATCAACTCAAAGCCACGTGTAATTTTATTTCTCAATCAAGATGTGCCACATGTTAGATTAAAAACCACCTATAACATATTAAATATAGTATGGTGTGAAAATTGTGATCGTAAAAAATAAGATAAAAAATAAAACAAATAGATCAAAACATTAAAAAGTACAGAAATAAAACGAATCCCTAAAAAATATCGAGACTAAAGTACAGATAACAAAATAGTATTTTAATACATATAAAAAAAAAAAGTAGAAATTTAGAGTACGTAATAGGTTTCCGGCGATGAACTCAAAATTGATAGATCGGAGACTTTTTTTTAAAACATGGGCCCCACTATCAAAACAAAGCGCCTTCAATGTGGATGGCTTTTGTGATAAATGTCAATATTATTTAATATGTGGGGTATAAATTTATATATATATATATTTATTTATTTATTATTATATTTTTAGTATAGCAACAGTTTATTTTTGTTGGCAACTTATTTTGAAAATTATGATTTCTTTGTTTTTCTTTTTACTTAAAATATAAAAAAAAACTATTATAAGAATATTTACTTATATGCTTTGAAAACTCAGAATATAGAAATAAGTAAAAACCATATAACAAATATAATCCTGGTTTTGTAACTATTTAAACTGTACAGATCCAGGACATTAATTCCTTAAACTTTTATATTTAAGTTAAAAGTTTAATTTTATTAAACTATTTTTTAATCTAACGTATGGGAGAGGTTTGAACTTTAATCAATAATGAAATTAACATGCAGTGAGGATTCGATCCTTTGACATTTTGGTCGAGACATGCTTTAATCAGTTGAGTTTCATGTAGGTCGGTAATTTAATACATTTTTAAAACAATATTAAAATTTTCTTGTAACTCTCACCAATCACAACATTAAACACGTAGAATCTAACCATACGAAAATACTCAAATATAGTCACAAAATCACACTACGTTCAAAATTGAGCAACAAAATTTTCAAATCTAGCAAAAAAATTTAAATATGATTAGAAAAACTAGCACCCATGAATCAAGTGCAAACATGATAGAATTAACCACAAATCTTTATGAAAAAAAATGCAATTTAATATTTTTAACTGTATCAACATGAGGAAACATAAGGTTTATGGTTAAAATTGATTTGATTATAAAAAAAATTAAGGTCATAAAAAATGTAATAGAAAGTAGAAGCAAATGAAGAAAAATAAAAACAATTAGCTTTGATTATGGAGTTTAGGATATAGTAGATTAGATGGCAAAATTAGCTTAAAAAAGTTTCCCTTTTTTTATTCAAAAAATTTCAGGTGCCATCGGATTTTCATCCTCCACGAATATAGATGGTTTTAGAGAAAGGAAAGAGAAAACGAATTGAATAATTAATACCACCATTGAAATTTGAAAGTGGTCTCATTATTATACCTTTTTCTGCAGCTTTTCTCCAAAAAACCTCTCCAAGAAGGAGAAATTTCGCCTCCCGGACGCGTTTGGTCAAATATTTTTAACGTCGGCAAATTCTTCGAGCTTCTTTTGGGGGATCTGGTCAGAATCGGAGACCCATAGGAGGCATTTTCACTCCGCCTACTTTTGATTTCCCGTTGGGGGTTGGCAATTGCATTATCCGATTCTTTCTTGGGGGGTTTCATCTGGTTCTTTTTCCCGATTACAAATTCTGGGATTTCATTGATTCGTTGATTTGTCATCACATCGAGCTCAATATTCACGATTTTGGTCAGAATTTCTTGCTGGGTCTGCTGAGAGATTCTTGTCTAGTTGTTTGAGGTTCTGGTCCTGGGGATTTCGAGGAATCGTGGTTCTGAAAGTTGGGTTCCTATTGGCGGTAAATTTCAAGCTTGGTTTTCGAGGTTGGAATCATTTGGATGGTTTCTTTTTACTTGGGTTTGGGGGAAAGATGGAACCGTGAGGATATTATGCATTTATAATGACATTTCGACAACTTATGGGTGTGGCAAAAAGGGGATGTTTGGTTGTTCTGGTGATTTTCATCTGTGCTTCCTTTGCAACTTGCTCGAAGGACCACGAGGAAGTGGAAATGTTTCTGATTCAACTAGCTGACCCAATTACTGGGGATGTCAACACAGAGATGGTGAGCAATTATGCTTTTATGATATGGGAGGAATATCCTTTTTTTTTTCTCTGAACGAAAAGTTTTAGTTCTTAGTACAGCTACTTGTGTTTGTTCCCGATTCCTATGTGTAAGATTGAAAGTTAGTTTTGCTTTGATTATCTGATTTTGCAACTCTGGGATGATATTTAGACGGATCAAATGCTGCAGTTATGTTTGGTTTTGGACATAATTGATCTTATGCAATAATACACTTTCCATCTTTGTTGTCTCTCCGTTTATGTAATTTCTTAGGCCCTATTTGATTACAAATTTGTTTCTAGTTTTCTACTTTTTAAAAACAAAAAGTTGTTACTTATAACAATACTCTTGTTTTGTTTTTCACTTTTTAGAAGCAGTTGTAAAATATTTGCCAAATTAAAACAACAAAAACGAAGTTTTAAAAACTAGGTCTGTTCATGGCTATTCTGGAAAACAATTGTTTTTTTAAGAAACAAAAAATCAGTGGAAACATGTTTAGGTGATTGCTTTTTAAAAGTTTTCTTTTGTTCATAGATTACTTGCATTTTAGAATAACTGAAGATGTTATTCTGTTCAAAATCATGAGCTTATGGATATCGATTTCAAGTGTATGTTAACCGTAGGGTTCCTTAGAAAGATTTTGAAAACATAGAAAAAATAGCTTCCAAACAATGTTCTACATTTTTTAGTTAAATTTTTTGTTAGGATCTTAAAGATGTTTTTAAACAAGTATATTACAAAACAAAAGATCAAAAGAGTTGGTCTATGTAAATTTCTATCTCAACCTTTCGTTGGTCTATGTGTCTTCTGTCTCAAGGCTGATTGAGGCGTGATATCTTCACACATGGCATGTAATGTAGTTGACTTATTTTAAATTCAAAAACTTGCTACAGGCCGAGCTGTTATGGGTTAAATGCAACCTGGATTTGATTCCGTTGAAGGAAGCTGTAGATGGTATTGACTTATGTTCTGAAGAAAGACCCGGTAACACAAATGGAATTAACCTTGAATGTCAGATGCTGACAAAAGAAAAAACGAATAGAATGTTAAATGCCATGCACCCCCAGGTGAAACAGTCTCTTTTAGATTGTTTAAGAAAGAATTTTCACGTCTCTGGGGAAGACTACAGTTCTGAAGCTTGGTACACCAGATATTTGGAGTCTTTGCTTTTAATGCCTGGTAATCTTAGAAGGAAGTTAAGTTCTAGATGGTTTCGAAGCGCTAAAGAAGAACCTGCTCCAGCACCTGAATCTTCAGAAATTCATCAAACTAAAAAACCATCAGATTCTATAGATTCAAGTTTACAACCTTCAGAAGATGAAAAGCCTTCAAGAAAAGCTTCTAGCACAAGTGGGAAAAAAAAAAAGAAATCTAATAACAATCAAACAGTTGTCATTGCTGTTGCTGTAACGGCAACAGTGACTTTTATTATTGTAGCTCTGCTCTTTCTATGCTTTCATAAGAGTGGCTCCAGAGGGAGGCAAAATGATGAACATCATGAAAGGCCTCTCCTAAGCTTGAGCTTAAGTGAGTACTCTGTTCTGTGTTCTCACAAGCTTGTTTTTGAAAATTTACTTTATTTTATCTTAACATTATTTTTTTTCCTAATGCTAAGTAAATGATCTTTCAGGTTCTTCGCCCAAGTATTCTTCCTTTGGGAATTCTCTTAAGGAAGACAAGCTCATGAATCAATCATCTAACTTGAGTCACCACTCGAGAGCTCCATCTTTGGATGGTAGCTTGCACATTGTCTCTGATGATGCACGTACTTCGGTACATGGACCTCCATCTTTTGGAGCTGCTGGAATTGCCAATAAATCATCTTTTGGATCATCATATATGGCTGATGGTACTAATGGCTTGTTACCACCTCCTCCTGGAGCAGTGCCGGTCACCTCAAATATTATGCCTCCTCTGAAGCCTCCTCCCGGCAGGGCTGTTCCCCTCCCTCCTGAACCACCTTCATCTTTTAAGGCTCCATCCAGCATGGCTGGTCCTCCTCCACCGCCACCTCCTGCACCACCACCATCTTCCAGGCCTCCTGGAAATGCAGTTTGTCCTCCTGGAGTTCCTCCACCTCCACCACCTGCACCAGGCAACAAAGCAGGCCCTCGGCCACCACCACCACCTCTCAGAAGTGGTGCTGCTGCCCCTCGGCCCCCTCCATTAGCACCGAAAGGTGCAAATCCACCTCGAGCTCCAAAATTTGGAGAGGATGGAAGTATGGATGACGGTGCTAACAAAGCCAAATTGAAGCCATTTTTCTGGGACAAAGTTCTTGCAAACCCCGATAATACCATGGTCTGGCATCAGTTAAAAGCAGGGTCTTTCCAGTATGTTATAAATTCCATTCCTTTTGTATCACCATTGCTTTTGAATAATGTTACTGGTTGCTAAGTTTTAAATCTAAATCACACAGATTCAACGAGGAGATGATAGAAACTCTTTTTGGATATACACCTGTTGTTGATAAAAACAAAAGTGAGGGCAAGAAAGAGTCATCATCACAAGATCCTGCACACCAGTATATTCAAATCATTGATTCAAAGAAAGCACAAAATCTATCCATTCTTTTGCGTGCGTTAAATGTGACAAGAGAAGAAGTTTGTGATGCACTTCATGAAGGTAATCTTGACATTGGCTTTCTTGCATCTTCTTGAGAAAACAAAAAGAAAAACATGGATCTGAATGGAGGCATGCACTTCATTCTCTTTTAACATTTTATTGTCTCCCCCAAAAGTGAAGAATTTAATTTAACTTGAAGCAATATGGCTACTACTCCTATAGGTTGTTCGTTTATGATTGTTGAAATATCCATATAGGAATTAAATTTACATAACGCATCAGCTTAAGCTTTTGGTTTGGGTGGTAGTTTATTCATCCTTAACATGGTATCAGAGTGGGAAGTACTGTATTCGAACCCTTGCATTGTCGTTTTCTCCACATTTGTAATGATTTCCACTTGTTGGACCTTGTGCAATTATCCAAGCTCACAAGTGAAAGAGAATGTTGAAATATTTATTTATGAATTAAATTTACCAAATCTATCAACTTAGGCTTTTGGGTTGAGTGGTGTTTTATTCATCCTTAACAATGATAGATGTCGAAAAACATAATATTGTTATGACAAAGTAGTTGAGGCCAGTTGCTCTCCGCCCTCAAGACCTCAGGAAATGGGCCATGTTGAGTATTCAAATAATATTACTTTCAGGAAATGGGGTCAAGAGAGGATATTAAGCCCATAAATGGTAGCAACTTCTCATTTTCTAACTTCTTGAATGACAAAAAAATAAGCAAGCGGGCATATCTAAGATAGGACAATACTCAACAAGGTTTGGGCTGAGAGTCAATTTGGTCAATAGTTTGGAGAATAATTGAACATTGTCGAGGAACTGTTTCAATCTCAGGAGCCCTCATATCATTGACTTAACAAATAGATTTCCTCATATGATGGAAAGTCCAAATAACATAATTTAGAATGAATATTAAATCGCACGACAGTGCTGAAAATATGCAAGTATGGTTTTTGTTCAGAAGATCTCACCTTCACAGCCACTATGTGCCATTAACTAGGGATGAACCATTTTGAGCTCAACTTTAGATTAATAAAAAGGTACTTCTAATTGTTGATGTCTGTTTGCTTCACTCAATATTTTTCTCCCTTGCCCCCATTTTTTATTGATTTTAGGAAATTGTAAATGAGGGAAATTCTTCTAGGGAGCCTATAACTTTGGCTGTGATTGACATAATATACATTTCTTTTTCATACAAAACGTGTCTTTATTTGCAATCAATTGTATTTTCTCTTTTTTGGGTGATGGAAGGACAATATTGTTGGTGTGATTTTGAGAATTCATAGAGAAATTTTCTGGTAATCTCCGATGGAAATTTGGTATAAGAGTATTCAGTGTTTCTATGCACAGCCATTTTGCTAAAATTTTCTAAAAAATTATTCCAATTGATATTTCCTTTTCCCAAATGAGAATTCTAATTGGCACTCTTGTTGATTGATGAACGAGAATATATATCTTTTATTTGGTATGATGTATCATCATCAAAATATGGTCATTGGTCATTGTTTATTCAGAGAAATTATTATTGTTAATGTTATTTTTATTGAACACAGACATTTTCCCCATGGCCCAAAGAAAATCTTCCACTTGGTAAAAGGAAAGGCGCCTCTGTAGTCTACATAGTGTATCTATTTTGTTTTCTGCATGTTGTCAGCAACCTTTTGGCATGCATGAATCTTTTGGCTGCACATCTTATATTTTCACGATATGGTGTTGAGCATATTCTGAGCTCTCTTAGTTGGATCAGGAACTGAACTTCCTTCTGAACTTCTTGAGAACTTACTGAGGATGGCACCAACACCAGAAGAAGAACTGAAGCTTAGACTGTTTAGTGGGGAACCTTCTCAACTCGGAACCGCTGAGCGATTTCTTAAATGTTTGGTTGATATCCCATTTGCTTTCAAAAGGTTGGAAACGCTGCTTTTCATGGGTACTCTTCAGGAGGACATCACCATCACTAAAGAGTCCTTTGTCAACTTGGAGGTAGAACACTTGCCACTGTATTACTTTGTAGTATTGAGAACTTGAGAGATCAATGGTTGGTTCAGTATAACAATTCTGAAGCCAGTAGTAGTTAAAAAAACTGAGCGACCAGTAGTTAACAGAGTCCTGTTGCCAGATTTTGGTGATGTTTAATTTTGCAAAAATCAATTCCCATAATCCAGAGTTCGTTTATCTAGTATAAGAAAACAGTTTTATTGGGTATCCAGATTCTTCACGTCTGAAATGTGTATGAATATGATGTGTATATACCAAACTTTGAGCATTGGTAAGGGTGCAAGTTTGTTTCCACAATCTATCTTGGTGCATTAAGCCAGTTTGATTTTTATACATCTCTGAACTGCCTGACTTATTGTGGATTCACGATGAATTTACAGGTTGCTTGTCGGGAACTTCGGAGCAGCAGGCTGTTCCTCAAACTTCTAGAAGCTGTTCTTAAGACTGGCAATCGGATGAATGTTGGAACTTTTCGAGGTGGTGCACAAGCATTCAAACTGGACACTCTTTTAAAACTGTCAGATGTGAAAGGAAAAGACGGCAAGACTACGCTCTTGCACTTTGTAGTCCTGGAGATAATTCGCACGGAGGGTATGAGAGCTGCCCGGAACGGTACAGGAAGCCACAGCTTCTCAAGCTCCTCATCAAAGGAACTGCTGGACAGAGTTCTTAGTGACACAGAAGAGCATTACCGTGTTTTGGGTCTTCAAGTCGTCTCGTGCTTGAGCGGTGAACTTCAGAATGTGAAGAAAGCAGCAACCATAGACGCTGATGCCTTGACAGGAACTGTTTCCAAACTTGGGCATGCACTGTTGAGGACCAGAGACTTCCTGAACAAAGACATGCAGGGTCTAGGTGAAGAAAGCAAGTTTCACGAAACACTGAAAGGCTTTGTGCAGTCTGCTGAGGTTGGTATCATGGCCCTCCTGGAAGAAGAAAAAAGAATCATGGAACTGGTGAAAAGCACGGGCGATTACTTCCATGGAAATGCGGGGAAGGACGAGGGCCTACGGTTGTTCGTTATAGTACGGGATTTCTTGATAATGTTAGATAAGACGTGCCGAGAGGTAAAG